TCTTCTAAGGATCAAGATCCCACCTTGGTTTTGCCCATCTCAAAATCCTAGGGCATAGCACAACTTAATCCACACTTCCCATCAGCCAGGACTGCAGCAAAGACCACCTTCCACATACAGTTCCCTTTGGAGCTCTTCCTGGAACTGCCTGTACTGGTCTTCAGTCAGTGCTAGTGCTTGACAAGACAACCAATTCCTTTGTTAAGAACTTCCAAAATGAAACAGAAATACCAATTAACTGGTATTCTGTCTGGAACTAATTTAATTCAAAGGTGTCTTCTGGTACCTTGGGATATGGAGTGTTCTGCTCTGGAGAGAATCAATCAGTGGGAGATTGATGAAGGGGTGCTGAGGTCAGGTTTGCAAATACAGAACCATCTGCAGAGTCTCCTGGGTTGGTACCTGCAGCACAGTAATTTACAGGAGCAGGTGTTTCCTTTTAATCTACATTTTTTTTCTGCTGAAATTGTAACTTTATTAAAAAGTGTCTGCAGTTTATTATTAAGAGGGTACTTTGTTCATTTTTGCTATTAACTGACTGCTGAAAGGTTTCTGAAAGTTTTAATGCCCGTAATCCTTAAAAATACAGTTAAGAAAAGAGGCTGTGATGTAAGTATGGAAGTCAACCAGACAAATCTTTAGAAAGCTGCTACATGTAAACACAATAAAGCCCAAAAGTCTGTTTTTAAAACAGAATTATATTGTTCAGGACTGAGCCATTTCTTCCCAAATAAAGGTGACTGAAATTATTCCATTCACAAAGATTCTAATTTGTTTACAGCCCTAACTAACTATGGAGAAAGGAAGCTTTCTGAAACAGAAAAACACTCAAGAATTCCAGCTGGCATTTCCCACCTTGGTAAGATGGGCACTCTGGTCAGTCCCCTTTGGTTTGGCTCCAAAGCACAGCAAAGGTCAGTAAAGAACATTTGAAGTCCAGCTCAGGTTCCTGGCTTTGCTGCACCTCACACCTTGCTCCAGCTCCACTCTAATCCACATTATCCCTTGTCAGGCCTGACCCCCACACCATCCAAACTGGCTTTGCAAGGTTCCAAAGGTGCTCACATTGCAGTCTCCACAAAGGCATTACACCCCTGCCTCTTCACAATCCTACAAATGTTCTGCACAGTTTTCCTTGGGTTTGCCTGATGTACTTTACCCACCTGTAACTCCTACCAGGACAAAAAGGACATACAGGAAAGCAGTTTCCTGGTTTGACTCTATCACCAAAAGAGTCACAGAACACTGCAATGTGAATAAACCTTGGCCTTATATGAATCACAGCGTTAAAACCCAAGGAATATCCTTCTTTGCCAATCAGTGAGGCAAAACCCAAGTCAAAGTACACAAAGAAACCAATAGAGTTAGAAATTAATTTTTTTCTATATTCTGCTTTAGACATTAAATCTAAATGTCTTAGTCTAAACCCAACTTCCTAGGGAAAAAACCCATACACACCATTGACTATCTGGTCATACCCTGGGTTTTGCTCTTCCACTTTCCTATTCTTTGGAAATTTTTATTTATGGTTTGCAGTAAACTTCAGGAAATAAAAGGACAGTGACTCAGCAATTGATAAAAATCTCTAGTTCTGTGTTTTTGTTTAAGTCTCTTAATTAATTTCAAGACAGATTTACTCCTTGGGGGAAAAATAGATGTGAGAATAAAATATGCTTAATTGGCAGATTCTTCAGTTTTTAATTGAACTAATGTAATTTTTACCTGACCAAGCATCACCCTTTATTTTAATTTAGGTTTTGGGTATTTTTTTACTTCTGGGAAGGTTCCCTCTGTTCCCAGCATGTTTCCCTGTCACTCTGATGAATACTGAGACAAAGAAATCTCTCCTTTCCCAGAAATAACTGCCTCATCTGTTGCTAATTTCCCTTCCCATCCTTATGGAACACATGGCTCCTTTCTATGACCTCTTGCTGTGTGCACATTCATGAAGTCTTTAGAATTTCCTCTTCTTCCAAAACTTTCCAAATTTAACAACCACCTTCAATGTATGTTTTCTGTCTATTCTCATCTAAATAATGGAAAAGAAATGCAAAGTATTTTCACGACTCCTTTAAGCAAACCTGTTAAATGGCTTCTTGAGTTATTCCCATTTTCTTGACATCCCTTTTAGCTCTACACTCATTTCCATAGCAGTACATTTGTATGGTTTCTGTTGCTCACTAAAGTTTCCTGGTTTGCCTCCTTCCTCATGGCCATGTGTTTTCCTCCTGGCCCCTACATGAGCTGTTCCTCTGCAGAGGCACACACCAAAGAAGCAAAACAAGCAAAAGGGCATTTAAATGTTCGTGTCAGGGCTGCTGGATCTAGCCATGGATTTCCTCCAGCCTTACAGTGGCCTGAAGCTTCTGTGGGACACTCTCACAATAAATAACACTCAAGTGCACAGCAATTTTTGGAATTGTATTTCCCTTCAGGTCATTTGCTCTTGGTTCAACACATCTCTATGCCACCAGTCTTAATTAAGAGAGCAGCACAAAACAGTTCTGCAAATCCTCTGCACCATAAACACTAAACAAATCCTTCGCAAAAAGATGTGAAACAAGGCCACACAAGTTCTAAATAATATTACTTTAAGTTTGCACAACCTATTTTTTAAGATGGGAAGACAGAATTTGTCACAACTTATTTCCTTTACTGTTAACTGAAATGTGCAATACAGTAAAATAAATCTTAGTGAATAATTAGGATGACCAGGTCAGCTACACAATATTTCATGAGAATAAAGTTGCTCCTCAGAAAATAAGTGCTCTTTTTCTTGCCACCCTCAGCAGCCTTACTTGTTTTGCATATGGTTGCACGTTTAATTAGCAATCTTTCTGTAAATGTCTGCAATTAGACAATGATGATTAATAAAATAACTCCTTTAAAGCTCCATTTAGGCAGCAGAACTGCACAATCAGGTATAATTAATTCATCATTAATAAATCATGGCTGATTAACTAACATGTTGATTACAAACACATTACTGCATAGCCTCCCACCTGAGCTCTGGTGATTTTTCTATCCTGAAAAGAAATAGAGACAAAGTAGTAGTAAACTATAAAAAAAATGCTTTAAGCAGCAAAGATATTAGTTTGGTCAGGAAATTTATATAACAAATCTCTTTGAAATGTATGGGTCTTGTTCATTATTAGTTCTCTTGAGTAAAACAAATTATTGTAGTCTATTTGTTAAATGTGGATGGGTGAACAATGGCTGGGTCTTGAGTTCACTTTTACTCCTAAGGAAGCCTCTTTTCCTCTGATCATGGGCCAGATTCAGCCTTTGCCTAAGCCAGCAGGAAGCATGAAAGCAGCAGCACTGCTACTCCAAAAGGTGCACAGCCCCTTCGGCCAGGAACAACCCAGGGAATACCCAGGGAACAATCCAAGGAACAACCGGGGAACAACCAGGGAACAACCAGGGGAACAACCCGGGGAACAACCAGGGAACAACCCGGGGAACAACCAGGGAACAACCCGGGGAACAACCCGGGGAACAACCAGGGGAACATCCAGGGAACAACCCGGGGAACAACCAGGGGAACAACCAGGGGAACAACCCAGGGAACAACCAGGGAGTATCCGGGGAACATCCAGGGAACAACCCGGGGAACAACCAGGGGAACATCCAGGGAACAACCCGGGGAACATCCCGGGGAACATCCCAGGGAACAACCCAGGGAATATCCAGGGAACAACCCGGGGAACAACCAGGGGAACATCCAGGGAACAACCCGGGGAACATCCCGGGGAACAACCAGGGAACAACCCGGGGAACATCCAGGGAACATCCCGGGGAACATCCCGGGGAACATCCCGGGGAACATCCCGGGGAACATGCAGGGGAACATGCAGGGGAACATGCAGGGGAACATGCAGGGGAACATCCAGGGGAACAACCCCGGGAACATCCAGAGAACAACCCGGGGAACAACCCGGGGAACAACCCGGGGAACAACCCGGGGAACATCCAGGGAACAACCCGGGGAACATCCAGGGAACAACCGCGGGAACATCCAGGGAACAACCCGGGGAACAACCCAGGGAACATCCAGGGAACAACCCGGGGAATATCCAGGGAACAACCCGGGGAACATCCCGGAGAACAACCCAGGGAACAACCCAGGGAACATCCAGGGAACAACCCGGGGAACATCCAGGGAACAACCCGGGGAACAACCCGGGGAACAACCCGGGGAACATCCAGGGAACAACCCAGGGAACAACCCAGGGAACAGCCCGAGCTGTGGGACAGGAGGCCAGGGCCAAAGCTGCCACCACAGCTGTGACCTGCACCTGATCACAAGTCCATGTGTATAAATCATCCTGCAGCTCCAGCAACTCCAGCAAGACTGAATGCAGGAGAAGAACATGCATTTCCATTTGGAGATTCCTTTTGCTTGCCACCTAGCCCTGAGATGAGCAGTGCATTTAAATCTCATTCTTGCTATGTTCTTTGTAGCTTCAGGAGATAGAATTTTCTATTTAAACTAAGATTCTCACACTGCTACTTGTCCAGCTGCTTGGACTTAAGTAAGATGTAACGAGCAAGTTCTGATAAAATTCAAAATAAAAGGAAAAATGGGAACTTGGCACAACTAAGTTCCCGATGATTTATAACAGGATGACATCCAACTGTTCCCACAGTATCAGAGTGTCTTCTGAATTCAAAACACATCACCCTGAAATATTGCAAAGAACTAAAGCAAAGCTTAAGACAGAGGTGACTTGAAAGAGAAAACAGTTTTAGCTAGAGTCATTGGAAGTTCCATATTCCTAATAAATCCAGTGAAAGACCACATCATGGTGACAAAATCTGAAGCAGTACACTTCATGAAGATTATAGAAGAAACTTTCAGTTTAGGAGAAAATCTTCAGGTTTTGAAAAATAATTGACATTACTGTAACCAATAAAGTTTCCCCTCAGATTTTAATCAGCTTTAGGTGCATCACAAGGTCAATCTGTTAAATCTACTAAACCTTTAATTAAAGTATTGACTAAGCAGCAGTGCTATGATCAAAGGCAATACCATTTGACTTCAAAAAATACTGTTCATAAAAGAGAACCACAAGGCACGTTTCTAAACCATTTCTATTTTTTCATATTTTAATTCAAGTAAGTCAGTGAACATGGCTGCCATTTTAATATATAGCCAAGAAAATACACTTTTTTAAAAAAATTAATTCAGATTTCATGAAAAATTATCTACATGGGAAAAGTTTGATTATCAAACAGATGCTTACAGTTTAATCCAAGAAGCAGTAAGGGATTTCAACATAGAATTTGGAAATAAAGAGAAGAATCATTTAAAGGCAGAAAAACAAGATAGCTGTACTCAAACATTTTCATTGGTCAGGGCACACAGGAAGTGGCAAGATGGAAGTGAAGAATACCAAGGATCTTGAAGATCAGAAGTGAATACTTTCAAGCAATTTTTAAAAATGGCCAATGAGTAATAAAAGATTTTGAGAACAGCAGTAATTCACTGCCTAGAGCTAAGATAAAATCAGCATAATCAGAGTAACATAAAGATTAGTGATTAGTGAGAGCAGAGGGAGACTGGTGGCAGTTCTTTCAGAAAGTCAGGTTTCCTTTTAACACCACAGCCGTTTGCCCTGCAATGTCCACTCTGCCGTCACCGCGCACAGAAATCTTCAGCTCTCCTCCACGGCGGGAGCACTGAAACGCTAAAGAGAAACAAGAAACCAGAGTTAAAAAACTCCTGTGTGTCACAAATGCTTTAGAAATCCATGAAAACTCAGGGAAAGGAGGCTTCTGGCTCAGAAAGCAAGCAGCACCAGGGCAAACAGTGCAGCAGGGACACCCTGGATGAATTGCCTTCATGGATGAAGGTCAGCTGAGGCTGTGTATTTCCAACCAGACCTTGCCTATTGAGCCTGACAAAACTGCTACTTCACACAAGCAGTGAGGGGCAGTTGGCTTTGTTGTAGCAAATTTAGTTTCTTCCATGTAGCTAAGAAGTTTTGAATTCTCCCTTCATGGGATACAGTTTTTGGAGGGAAGAAGGAAGAACACCAAGCGTTATCTGCATGAGAAGGAATTGCCATTTCACTGGCACTGAACACCAAAAGCTGACACTGCATTCAAAGAATGTGCCTGGCTAAAGGGTAATAAGCTCATAAAGGCAATGGGAAAAGTCTACAAAGAAACATAGACAGCTTCAGCTGTCAGAAACTGACACCAAATTCTTATACAGGATGCAACAGATATTGATTTCTAGAATCTTGAAGATATCATTTAATACAACTGGGTAAACCTGAAGTAGACACAGCCTTCTGCTTCCATTTGCTTAGAGAATTCAGCTTCTGTCTGGACTGTTGAGCCATACACAGGTGGGATGATGTTCACCTAGCATGTGGAGTCTCTAACTCGTTTCAGCAGTCTCATTTTAGTTGCATGACTTGAAAAGGGTCTGGTTCAGATGGCATTTAGGAAAGTTTTAAGCAGTGCTCCTTTTGTGAAAGGCTCTAAATGGATGAAGAGGCAATCATGTTCAGTCTCCTCACTCAATGAACTTCCAGCTGCTCCAGAAGTTGTCCAAAGCTAAGGGGCACATTTTTCCTCTCAAACCCACAATTTATAAATCAGGTAGAGATTGTATTCAGATCCCAAAAGAGCACAGGCTCTCTGATGCCATACATGCTGTATGCTTTGAAACTATTTCTCAGGCACTGCTGCTAAGAAAGCTCTGCTTTGATCAGATTAGATTCTCAGACAAAGCAAGCACTCTGAAAGAGTGGAAACAGGAGCTATTTAGAGATTGAGATTGATACTTTCTGTTCTTTTCCATTTATAGAACCATGAGTTGTTTTTAACTTGTCAGAACACCACCTATGAATGGAGTATTGCTTCAAGTAGTAATTGAAATGAGTATTTTAGACTCTTAAAAGACCCAGGTCAGCTAAAATTGATCAATTATTATTGCCAGGTGTGGAGACACACTAAGGTCTTCCACAATAGCGGACCGAAATAAAAGAGATTAATTGTTTCAATTCTTCAAAGGTTGGTTTGGTTTTTTCTTCTTGACATGTCCAAACTCTTTAGCTCTTTCATGTCAGGATTGCTGAGATTGTTTTGATATTGGTCCATTTTATTTTACTTTTCTTTTTTGGAAGAAACTTCTGAAGTAGAAGAAAAACAAAAAATAATACACAAAGGAAATTTTTAGACAAGCTTATATGAAAATAATACTTGATTTATTCCTTCTCTCACACAAAACACTGGTATTTCATGCCATGTCCTAGAGTAAACAGGCCTGCATGGAACATTTCAGTACCCAGAGGATTTCATTTAAAAGCAGTGCCTCTGGAGCCTTCAGGCATCTCTGAAGTGCACTCACCTTTTAGATCATAAAGCTCTTGCATACCCATTCCACGCCTGTGTTTACCAGGATACTTCACACCATACATAGATTTTATACATATCTGCCATGAAAACAAGTATGTACAAGTGTACAAACAATATCTACCAGCTGACCTCACAGTGCCCTGGGCTCCTCTGTGGTTAACCTGACACACAGGAAAGTTTGGGAGCAGCCACAAGGCCGGTGATACCACAGTATCACACCCCCTGCACTCACACAGCAGCTGGGGGCCTTGTACAAACATTATCCTCTTCTTCTGGAGCTTCCTACCAGCCTAGATGGAGCTCAATGACCCCTGCTTAACCAATTAAAGAAATAATGGATTTTCTTCATCATGTCATAGAATGACATCAGCGCAAAATATTCGAGATTTCTTAAGTATTATTACACTCCTGTAATAATACTTAAGAAATCAAAAAATTAAAATTATCAATCAAAATAAAATTAAAATAATCAATAAAAATATTAAAATTAAAATAATCAATCAAAATATTAGTGATTTCTTAAGTATTATTACACTCTTGTAATAATACTTAAGAAATCACTAATATTTTGTTTGAATTTCTAAACCCCATAGTGGAATGCTGAAAGAAGTGTTTGTTCCTTAACCCAAGCAAAGATCTCCAAGACTTTTTTTTATCCTAAGAAAAAAAGTTGGCAAATCTGGTGATTGATGGAGGGAAACACCTCTCCTTTGAAGAAATGTAACACTTGTGCACAAATCTGATGTTGTCAATCCATGTGTTGAGATGACTTGTAAAAGATTAAAACTGCAATGAAAACTCTTGACTTCATGAGAATTCAAATTATCAAAAACTTAAATACAGGTAGATTCATTGTAACTTAACAAAGCAAATTCTTCTGTCTTTTTATGTGTTTTGTTGTTGGTGGTAATGTTGGTAATGCCCCCCCAAAAAAGAACCCTTAAATGCTATAAACCTCTTCTGTAACAGAAGGAATCAGAGAAGGTAAAGGCAGTGACAACAAACAAATTTCCCCACAAATAAATACAGTTGTCCCAAGTAAACTGGTATAGCAAGGTTCCCCTAGGTTAAACTGAGATAAAAACTGTCCTGGGTAAGGCCTTGACATCACAATAATTTGGGAAGTCCTCTCTAATTTCCTCATGCAGGTTTATAAATGTTACCCTAGAGATATGGCAGCAGTGTGAAGGGCTGGATATACAGACAGTTGTTCTACACTGCATTCACTAGCAACTGAGGAAGTCCATACATCTGAGAGATTATAACTTGTATACATTGCAGAGACTCCTCAAATGCAAGAAAGGCAAGGACTGGTACAAAACCCTGATTGTACAAACAGCTTAAATTCAAGGACATGGACCCACTTCAAGAAAAGGTCATTAAGTATTTCACCTTGTAAAAGTACTGGAAAATTCTCTTTGTAGTTAGTGGGAGTGGTTGTTGTTTGAGAATTTAGTCTAAAAAAAGTCAGAAGAGAACCCAAATACAGGAAATTAAGTCTGATGCTTCAGCAGAGCTGCAGCTGACCTCCTCCTAAAGGCCTCAATAGCCAGAGAGATGTGACAATAGATTTCATGTTCCACATTTTATATTACTTTATGTGTAATCTACTTGGGAGCTAACAGATGCTTCATTCTACGGAAGAAAATCTTCCTTTATTTTTGCAATAAAAAGTATCGGATATTGCAGGAGACACCACAGAGATTTCTAAAAAGTGCAAAGATGCTCTTATTTATTAATACTTTCTGATCTGGAATGTCCTTGAATGCCAGCTATCTTTTCCAAATAATCTCATTAGTAGTAGAATCTGCCCAATACTACCTGATACCTCTCAGGCAGGCACATGACCCCTGTAAGGAAAAGTTATTTCTCATAAACATACATCAAATTAACTTGTCCTATTTAAAACAGTTCTGTATGATTTCTAACACAGAAGAAGTTTGAGGACATATATGCATGAAATATGAATGGAAAAGAAAACCCAAACAACACAAACCTATCTTGTGGACAGATAGGACTTTCTTGTGCTGATTACAGTATCAATTGCCCTGGCTGCTTGAGCTGGTTTCTCTAAAAGCAGAACAGGGACAGTACATACAAAATACATGAAAATGCAAAACAGGTAGAAAGTGTCAATTGTAAGTACAGACAGAATTCCAGCCTTTTGAGTACTTAAAGAAACAGTGTCTATAGATGCTATGGGGAGTTTCAGTCCCACATTGACATCCAAAAATGTCAAAATCTTCTGAGAAACAGCCAGTCCATAGGGACACATTACCAAAGACAGTTTTTCATCTTCAGAAAACATGCTGAGATTCCCCCCCACCTCCCCCCAGCATTACTTAAACTATCACAGATATTGCGTGGTGTAAATGCAAATACAAGATCTTTGGGACAGAACATGACATCTTTCCTTTGATCCATGATGGAGAAGGTCCAGTTCATGGTGGAGCCTTTAAAGACTTACCATCCTCAAGAAACTCCATTCTGAGATTGATTTGACCCAATACAGAAAGGCTTATATTCAGGCTAGCTGTTTGTTTGGAAAAGTGTTTACTTTTATGGACAAAGAACTTCATTAGATCAAGTATCCAGCCTCTGCTCTAAACTAAATGTGGCCAAAGGTTTGTGTGCAGAATTGCCCCTGTCCCTTCTTGGGAACCAGGTAGGGGATGAGAGTATTTTGTGTTGCTTCTCTTGTTCCTCTGTTCTCTGGCAAAGCAGCAGAAACAGGAGAAGCAAGGAGTCACCCAACACTCCTCACACAGCATTGGCACATGTTAACAGCTTCTCTTGGTTTCTTTCCACCATGTTCTAAGGTTTCTTGCTTAGGAACAAAGATGTGACCTAATAAGCATATCACATTGATTGAACCAAGCACACAAACATCCCCTGAGCTTCCCCAAGCTTCAGGGATGATGAAAGGTCATGAGAACTAAAATCCCAAAGCCAAGATCAAAAACTGACAGCAGAGACTTATGATCCAGAAACCAACACTTCAAACCCCTGGGCATGATGTGTCATGGTGGTGGATAGGAAAGAAAGCAATTTCTAAAAGATTACCTCACACACAAAATATTACTTAATATTCTATTCATCTTGAGGAAATGGATAGGGAGTTATTGCTACTTTTTGCATTGCAGTAGTAATTCAACCTTTTCTTTTCTAGTGAGTAGATTTACACAAATGGACAGCTTTGCAATAAAACAGTTTCTCTTACCAAGCATTTCTTTCTTCCCCAGCTGCTCTGACCAGTAGCTGCTTAAAACAGCATGAGCAGATCCTTAAAAGAAATTGGGAAACAAAGTACAGAATTAAATTATAATCACTACTTTACAGAGTAAGCATAGCCAAAATGTAAATATCATAAATCAAGTGCCATGTGTGTTTAGGGCAAAAAAAACCCTAAGTTCTGTCTGCTGTGCAGACTCATAACTTCCATTTATGGTAAAGCAGGATTACTGGCACATCCTCTAGCTTCAAAGCAAGTCTTGCTAGGTGAGGGCATCATCATCAGCTAATTCTCAGCTGACTAATGATGAAATGGTACCTAAGCAAAGAACACCACCCTGCAGCAATCCAAGGCACTGAGTGCAATGCCAGAGAACAGGCAGGAACACGCCCTGCTGCCCTAACATGCAGCCAGCTGAGCTCCCACAGGCCTGACAGCAGCAGCAGGGTCATGAACCAGGGAAGATCTCAGCTGAAATGCACTGCAAAAGAACCCAAACAAAAATCCAAAGCACCACAAAAAAAAGAACACCAACATAAGAGGAGATAAATTTCCACTGCAACACTCATCCAGTAGTGAACTAGACTCTCACTTTTATCTAATTGTAATACTTGAGGGAAAAGATCTGAAAAACACACAAGAATATCTGGCCTAATGACAGTAAGAAGCTGATTTGATTTCTTCTGAATGAGTTTGCCTCAGCCATAAAAGTTTCTAGTTTAATGACCACTCCTGCTATCCATAGACACCAGTAATTTATAAGAGACTCCAAAGTACAAAAACAGATTAATGAATCTGAATAAGAACCTTTTAATTCAACTGAAACAAAAAGTATGAGCTGCTTATCATACAAACACATACCTGTAACAGGGTCTTCCAGAACTCCAACCCAAGGTGCAAAATATCTGGAGTAAAAATCATGGCCTTTTCCACTGGAATTTCCCTTAACAGTGAGTATGAGTCCTTTCAATTTTCCTGTCTTTTCAGCTGACAAAAAGTGTTGGGCATTCACTTTCAAGTTTTCCAACACAGACCTTGAATATAATTTTGAAAATTTAATAGCCCATAATTCATTTTACATGAATATAAGTACTGAAAAGAAAAAAATAAAGCTACAGAATCATCTTCTCTACAATTCAAAACCAGCCCTAAAATATTAGAGGAGACTAGATCCCTAGCATTGTCCTCACAATGGTACTTGACAGAAAAATCACCTGGAACCTCATGCACTCTGAATGAGCAGAGAAAAAACGTCAAGCCATGCATCAAGCCATCCTATTTATCTCTGAAAACAGAGCATCCTGAAATATTAGCCACCAAAAAAAAAAAATTCACCCTGTATCAACATTTTAATCATTGAAAGAATCATTGCCTCACTATGGAATGTACCAAGTGCTCCACCTCCTTTCAGAGCAGGCAAACAACACACATCATTCTAAAGCAGTCTGTAACTGCCTGATACCTCCCTACAAAACAGTCTGAAAGAGTGAAATTATAAGAACTCAGCTGAGAATATTTCTTTTCCCCCAGTACCCCAGACTTTAACCATTAGTCAGGCCAAACTTCAAGTTTGTAATAAGAGTAATTTGGCCTGATTAAAGAAGTTATGTTTCAGCAGTATTTACCTAAATCATACTTGAATTAACAATGAAATTCAGATGAGATTAACAAATGCTTTGGAATAATTTGAATTGGAATTTTCTCTCTAAAGCTACTCATGGTGCTGTTAAGCATGTGTAAGCAGATTACAGACCCAGGCAAGTAGGACTCCCTGGCATTCTGCCAACGTGCCCTGAGCTGAAGCAGGACTCCCAACTTCCCACCAGGTCCCTGGATCATCTTTACACTCAGATGGGTGGGAAAAATACACCATCATTAAAACTGCTTCCTACACCTCCTTCTCTTGAAGAGAGATTTCAGAATGATCTTCCTCAGCTTTGCAGCTCCAATAAGCTCATGTTAAAAGATCAAATAACCACTTTACACAGAAATTTAAATCAGAGGTTTCTAATCTCCACCTGATTTAAAACAAGACAAAAGAGCCTGGTATGTAAGGAATAAGGAGGCCAGCTCCATGTCTGCATTCTTGATTAAAGCAATTAAAGAGTGCAATATACCTGTCATAAGTGTCACTGAGGCGGACCAGGAGCTTCTTTGTGTCGGGAGAGTAACGGATGTCTTGGACAACCATGTCACCAACAGCTGCCTGGTGGAAATGCAGAGACAGGAAAAACCATCATCACGTGAACATAAAATATTATTCCCTTAGCATTTCTGTAGAGCACCTTCCCTGCTGGAAGAGGGCTTATGCAAGCTCTTCCATGCAACCCTCAAGCACGTGCAAGCAAGAAAAGCAAATGCACCAAGTGTTTGAATGGATATGGGGGAGTTACAAGCCCCATGTATGTCAATTTGGGAAGAAATCCAGGACCTAGAGGAGGGCAAGGACACAGACTGCCCTCTTATGCACACAAAAGGCTGAAAATGCCATTGAAATAAATATTGACACTTTGGTCAATGGAAATGGGAGACACAGGTTCAGCTGCAGCACTTTGGAGAATTCCACTCCCTGACCCACTGACTCATTACTGAGAGCTTTGAAGTTTGGTGTTTCCAGTTCAGCAGTACATTGAGCAGTGCCTTGTCACCATTTTTTAGCCATTTTAATACATAAAAAAATAAGCAAAGCTATTATCAACGTTTTTCTAAGACAACTGATGGATTCTTCCTTTACCTTTATTAATTCTTCTACTTCCTTAAGTTCCTGAAGGAAAAAAAAAACACGCACACTGTAAAAATGTAATTTATATGTATGTATCTATGCAACTACAAACAGACACATATACTGAGATACACATACAAACACACACTTTCCTTGAAAGCCTATTGTGAATAAAATTTTGACTAACCTGGGGGTAGGCTGTGTAAAGTGGCAAGTCCAGGACAATATGATCTTTCACTTGTCTGGCCTTTAATTCCCCACTCAGTGTCACAAACGTGAGAACTGAGTTTGTATTTTCTAGAGAGAGAGAACATTGCAACATTATCAAACATTAGAATTTTAATCCAAATTATCATAGCCCTGGAAGTAGCTCAGTATATTCAGAAAAAGTTAGTTATGCAGCTCAAATATAGAGCAACACTGTATTCTGGGCAAAATTCCCAACTAACTCAATAAATCTGCTGAGGCTAATAAACACAGCAATTGTCAGGGAATCATTCCTGCATTTGCCTAGAATGAATGGGAATGCCCTTTTAACAGAAAGAGCAATATTCCCTATTCATCAAATCCTGCTCTACCTCTCCCAGATGACATTTGCATATTTAGCACTTTTCCTACACCAGAGTAATAGCAGGGCATGGGAATCAGAGGGCAGGCATCAGACTACAGCCTTGTAACTACAGGCAATACCCAGGGTATCTCCAGTTGTGTTCTACAGATGTTCTGAATGTTTAATTGCCTTGGTCTTAAAAAACAAAGATGTTAATTAGAAGTAAATGTTCTAAAAAGCTATAATAACACATAAGTTGTAAACCTACTTTGTACGTGAAATAACACAGCAGCTGATGCAAGAGTAGCATGACCACAGAGAGGAACTTCACTGGCTGGGGTGAACCACCTGAGCCCAAAGCAGGAGCCTTGGAAAAATAAAGCTTAATAAGTGGAAGAAGTCTATATCTTAATTTTACCTCAATATATATAGAGAGTGATGATGTTTCAGTTAATCAAAATGCATGTTACAATCAGTTTTGGTCCTAAACACACTTCTAGGCACCCATTTGACACTGATTTTTCAGAATAGCTATCCCTTTTGAATCAGGTCAACAACCTCTGCATGCTGCACAGATTTTCCTTTGTCCTGAACAGGTCTCATTTAGAAGATAAAGCCTCCATGTCCTTATGTGTATTATGAAATCCTCCAGAGGCAGTCATGATCTGTATCACCTGCAGGCCAGGTTACTGTGCAAAGGCCATAGATGGTTGTGTTGGTATAACACAGCCTGTACTGGAGTTAGCTCATTTATTAATTGTTTTGCTTAAACCACCAGTTAACTCTGGTAAAAGCCCCTAATGTCTACTAACCCTTCATTTCACTAGAAATCATATTTCTATTTGCTGTTTAAAAAATTTGTAATGCACATGTACGATACTTGGTTTCCTGCAACTTCTGCACGTGCACTTCAAGTGAATAATTACCATACAAACACAACAAGAAGTGAAAAAGAAAATGAATTTTTTTTAATCCAAACCAGTCTTGTCACTGCTCCTCTGGAAAGTTTAATGCATTAAAGTCAGTCCCCTGTAATAAACACAAAGAGAAGCCAAACAAAGCCAGTGGTGGAAGCTGATGTCCCCAGCAGTGAAGTGCTGTGGGGGCCAGCTCAGCCCAGCTGGGAGCCTGCTCCACGTGGGAGCTGTGCCTGGAGCAGGACATGGAGGGTTCATGCAGGTGCCTGAGGGGAGGCAAACATGGCCCAGAACGGCTGCCTGGACACTCCAGACACAGCCCCACCTGGACTGACAGGACATGGAGGGTTCATGCACGTGCCTGAGGGGAGGCAAACGTGGCCCAGAACGGCTGCCTGGACACTCCAGACACAGCCACACCTGGACTGACAGGACATGGAGGGTTCATGCACGTGCCTGAGGGGAGGCAAACATGGCCCAGAACGGCTGCCTGGACACTCCAGACACAGCCACACCTGGACTGACAGGACACGGGGCACTCCCAGAAAGTCACATGTCCCTAAAGTAATAGAGTTGACTGGTTTGGTTTTTTCTTTAATTAACATCAAATTAATACTGATGGTGAAGGCCTGCAGAAACACGTGCTGTGTCCAGCAGCCCTCCCTACACGGATTCATGTTCCAGAAGCAGATGATAAATGACATTCTGATGCTCCTGGCTCACTCCCACCAGCCCTCAGCACACCCAGTCTCAGGTGTAGCTGAGTGACCAAATGCTTTGAAAGACCTGTGCACCCTGGGCAGCTGTGTGGATCTGTCTGAGGCCACAAACAGCCCATTAGTGCCAAAAGCTCTATAATGACAAAGAAGCTGCCATTTTGTATGCTGGTAGAGATGGGGGATTGAAAATAAGCATGTTAAACATATTGGCAAAATGCTAACATGAAAAATGAAAAGTACTGTAACTTCCTGCTCCAAGCAATTAGTCTAACCCTAAAGTAAATTCCAATTATTAACAGTAGCAAGCAATTGTAGTTACTATTATCATTAATATTTTTAATTACAGAGACTGTACAAAATCCTACTCCCTGAACAACCCATCAAACAACAAAGCTGACAAACATGACTCCTTAACCTGGAATCTAAGTCCAGACTAGGGGATGAGCCTTGGCTCAGGCCACCACACAACTGCCAAGTGAGCAGATTCAGCAAACTGATTCAGCTGAAAATTAATCCATAGATGAGTCTGAATGAATTCTGTATTTGTCTGATGTTTTCTTGTAAGCAGAACCACTAACTTTTGGTAAAGTCATCTCCAGGTTTCAGTTTTCTGATGAAAGCTGTTTCTGAAAGGTTCATTTCTGCTGCAATTTTTTGGTGCAAATCTTCATCCAGGTCCTAGGGATGACACAACAAATCCAGTCAAGCAAAGACCAAAAAATACAGAATCAAACTTTCTGGCAAATACAGACACTTAATTTTCTATTATAATAAAACATGGATTCAGTTTTAATTCACAATAATCTCCGAGAGTAAAAACAACTTTACGTGGGACAATCCAGTCCCTTGGTAGGAGTTGAGAAGAGACAAATTGGAAGGAAAAGAAAACAAGAAGAAACAGCTGGAGCTCACAAAGTGCCTGTGATTTAAGCCAGTGGACATTGATCCCAAGATACCCAAGCCCAGGGATTGTATAACATTCTCCTTGGCCCATGTTCCACTGCTCTTTCCCCACGGTTATGCTGACTGGCCAGGTTTGAGAATCTAACCTTTAAAATACTGAAAATCAAGTGAAACAAAGTACTGAAGGGACCTGGTCAGGTTCAGCCTCTGAGATAAAAATGTGCCCTTTAAACTTGAATTACTTCCTTCAATAACTAACTCTTTTCAGCCAAAATCCCATACTGCAGCTACAAACCAAGAACTGATTAGTCCACTAGAGCTGCACTTGCAGACTGAATTCTGTACAGTTCAACAACATTCTCACATTCTACAGCACAGTTCCATTCCCTTTGTCCCAGGAAGATTTCTGTCAGTTACTGCAAAGATCCTAGACCGGGACAAAGACCAGTAAAAATGTTATTAGAATAACTTCTTTTTTAATGACATGGAACTTTATTGAAACACTGCCATCCTGTGGCACCTCTGGAACACAGAGAGGACTGGTTTTGCCATTGCATTTCTCCTGATTTTTTCTGTAAAGCATCTGCTGAGACTCTGGAGGGAGCAGAGAACACTTGTTTTGCATGGCTGCATCACCACTTGCTTCAATCTTAGAATAAAATGCTGAATTAGGATCTCGGCTTTAGCTTCACACTAAAGCCTTTACTTCCAGGAACTGGAGAAAAATTTAAACATCTGCATCCCAAAGTCATGCAAGTAAGGTAGCTTCATGATATCTTGATGTAACAAAGTAAAATTAATATAAAAAATGAAATTAGAATCTCATAATTTTAATACAGAGATAACTTTGAAAGTATTTAGATTTTATGGGACCAAAAATATGTCTGAAGAGAGATGTTCCCAGTCACACCTTTGGCTGACCAGGTAAGTAGGCAATGCTAGATGAGATTCAGACAGACTTAGGAACTCTAGAAAGGATTCATGTTGGCATTTCGAGCTGTTGCCACTGGCTACTCTACATATATTTTCAGATTTACAACTTTCATCAGGAGTTACTACCCAAACAATACAAGGCCTGTAAGTTTCTGATCCATCTTAATAATTGTTTTTGTTAGAAATTGGTACCAATTAGCACCAACTGTGCACAACACCCTGATGAGGAGGATAACTACTGTCAACTGCACCAAAACTACCATGCAACACTGAAGCAATAAAAACTGGTTGTTTAAACTCGGATAAAGCTGAACCCAATGCACTAATGATAAAAGAGTCACATCGAGGTCTGTACCCGCTCTTTTTCTTTCCAGAGAAAGAGGAAAAATTCAAGAAAAATAGAGAGAAAACCCACACCAAAATCAAACCCCACAGTTTAATCCTTCTACTGAGCACTGATTTCGTTTTACAGCATTACTTTTCAGAGCTCACTCTGAATCCTTCTTAATTCTTCAGAACTTTTAGTCTTAATTATTCTTGAAGAAATTAAGCCATTTCTCTTAACTCAAAATAAATCCAGTTTGTTCCTTAAAAAAATATTTTTAACAGCCCACAAAAACTTCAAACGTTGTCTTGTATGACATCGTTTCAATGAAAAAAAAAAAAAGCAACTCCTTTGCTAATTTGTCTGTATTCTTGTGCCACAGCAAACAAGTCTGGAAAACAGAAGTTTCGAGTAAAGAAAGCAAAGTCTAATGCAGTGCTGAGTGCTCAGGCCAAGTACAGAACGGCAAATGTCATTGCAGCACCTCAAAAAACAGTTGGGGTTTTTTCACTTACATTTTCAAGCAGACAAACTGCCGCAGGATTTCCAGAAAACGGCCGGTTTGTAAATGCATCAACCGTAAAAATTGGAATCTGCATTGTCGTGTGCACCTGTTTAGCCGCAGGCTGCGCTCTGCCAGGTGCTCTCTAACCTGTTTTACCCAGACCAGCACAGCTCCAAGTTAAAGCTCTCCTGACGGCAGGCGGAGCCAGCGGCCTCATCCCGTCACTTCCTAGCGCCGACACGGATTGAGACTCCGTCCTACACCCCTGGCGCTCCGCACTAATTTATTATTCTTTTTTAAAATTAAACCACACATTTTAACCTCCCTTGCAGCCCCTGAACGCCTCAGCGCGCCCTTTCCCCACAGCGCCCGGCCCGGTGCGTCCCGCACTGAGGGAGGCGGGATCCTGCCCGGCTCGGCAGCTCTGCTGAGATCTGGGCAGCAGCCATGGCGTGCGCCCAGAGCGGGCAGCCTTCCTCATCCTCACTGCCTCCCAAAGCCGCGCCGAGGGAGAGGGACACGCAGAGCGAGACACAAGCTCCAGAGCACGGCCGCATGGCCACAGCCGCCGCCATCATTGCGGGCACGAGGCGAGGGCGGCGCCGTGAGGGGATGCCCGGGCACGCGCGCGCCCCGCCCCCGCTCCTGTCCGCGCGCGCTCCCGCTTGGCGCCAAAACCAGCGGTGGTGGCCGCGTGACCGAGGGAGGAGCGCGCACGCGCCCGGGCGACCCCTCAGTAGAGGAGGCGGTGAAAGGCAAAGGCGGAACGCCCCCTCCCCTACCCCGCATGCGCACGCGCTCCCTTCCACCACCCCCCGCTCTCCCCCCGCGAGTGGCGCGTGCGCGGGAGCCGCCCAGGCGGGTGTGAGGCGGCGCGCGGCGCGGGTATCGCGATAGTCGCGCGGCCCGGACGCTCCGCTGCCCGTGGGCGCTGCGTAGCTGTGGACCCGCCGGAAGGCTCGGCAGAGAGCGAGAGGCGCGTCCTGCCCGGCGCGAGCGGCTGCCAGGGCACGGCCAGGGGTGCGCGAAAGGCTCGCGGTGAGCGGAGAGGGCGAGCGGGCCGGGCGAGCGGCGGCGGGGCCCGCCCGGGGGGCTCGGCGGGCGGAGGGTCCCGCCGGCGGGGGCTCGGGGCCCGGCCGGGGCCGGGTCGGGCACGGCGCGCGCTCGTGGGCGGGGGAGGGGGAGGCGGTGCGGAGCCTCGTTCCCGATCGCGGTCGCCATTTTGAGCGGTGGAGCCGAGGGCGGCGGCGGCAGCGGTCCCGGGAGAGCGACGGGCGGGGGCTTCTGCGGCGGTGAGGGGGTACGGGCCGGGCGGGCAGCGTAGCGCAGCGCAGCACCGCACCTCCGAGGCTAGAGGTGGGCAGTGGGACGCGGCGGGCGCGGGCCGGGCGAGTGGCGGGCGCCCCGGGGAGGCGCGGTAAATGGCGGCGGGGAGCGGGCGGGGGTCAGAGCCGCGGTGTCGGGAGGACGGCGGGAGGCGGGATCGCGACGGCTCCGCGCCTGCCGAGGCGGCGATGGCGGCTCCCTTTGTGGGACGGCGGCGGTGCCCCCCCGCACGCGCCCCAGGCACGCACACGCCCCCGCCGCCCCCGGCTGAGGGCAGACAAAGAAAGGCCTTGTGCCTCCAGCCCCTTCCTCAACTGTTGCGCTTCAAGGGATAAAACAGCCCAAAAAACCACAGCGCACGAAGCTTTACGGAGCGGATGTGCAGCGTGCTCGGAGTAAATGCCGAGCTTTATGTGCCGTGCTGCCCACGTGTGCCCGCCGGCCGCGCGGTGCTCCCAGCACAGCAGCCCCGGGGGCGGGGGTCCGTCCCCGCCGTGGCGGGCTGAGATCCCGCTGGCGTGTGCTTGGATGCCTGGTTTCAAATCCGGAACAGAAATAAAGCTCATGATCCATCATGTTTTCAAAATAAAATCTTAACAGTTTTCTTTTAAGGGCTGGACTTAAGCACGGGCGGAAACTCAGGGGGTTTTTATTTCTGTTTTGTTGGACTTTTTTTTTTTAGGATTTAAATAAATAAAAGATGGACTGGAGTGGAAAACACAATGGGCCCAATGATACAACCAATGACGGAACAGTGGTACGACTCCGAGGCCTCCCATTTGGTTGCAGTAAAGAAGAGATTGTTCAGTTTTTCCAAGGTACCTCCAGTATAGTCGAAGTGTAGTGGGTTTCTTTAGAGTTTTTTGTATGTTTTACACAGCGTTTTGGACATGTTTAATAGCTTTTAATGGGGTGGATGGGGAGGGATTGTGTTGAATCAGTTTATCTTAATTAAGATTTATGCCCTGTAAACAAAGCACAGATAACCGTAGATATAGTAGAACACAAAATGTACCTGATTTTGTCGAGGTGGGAAACATACCTTGCACAGGGGGGTAACCTGAATGTTAGCATTTGGATCAGTTAAATTGCTTGATTGGTAGCTATATTTTCTTCGTGTAATTTAGGTGGTTGCATTTTTGTATAGTCTAAACAGAAAAGTACGGCTAAATCCATAAATGTTTAATGCAAAGATCATGGGCTTGTATTGTTGGGTGATGGGGGAAACAAGGTGGTTTTCTTTTTCGTTGTTGTTGTTTAGATATGCTTTAAGTATTTGCTACAGATGGGAATGTTTCAGCCTTTAACACTGTTCCCCTTGACGGGGTTATTTGTCCTTGGGTTAAAGGGTTGGAAATCGTGCCAAATGGGATAACATTGACGCTGGACTACCAGGGGAGAAGCACAGGGGAGGCCTTCGTGCAGTTTGCTTCAAAGGAGATAGCAGAAAATGCTCTGGGGAAACACAAGGAAAGAATAGGGCACAGGTGGGGATGGAGAGTTTGGGATGGTGTTAAATCTTTCTTTTTTGGGGGTTGTGGGTCAGTAATGCTTTTGGGGGGTTGGGGACCATTGGGGAATTGGCTGTTTTTAAGAATTTTTATAACTGATCCTAAGTTAACTGGGAATTACAGTAGATTTGGGGGGTGGGGGAGACAGTATTGCACTGGGTAGTTTGCTAAACTCAGAAAACTGTTTCAATCATGCTCGTGTAGGGTAATTTGTGATAAATGCTGCTATAGCCATTGTTTTTTCAACAGTATGTTTCTCATACTGGAAAGACATGTTTTAAGCTTAATTTGTACAGCTAGAATTTTCACATAGTAATTTTTGCCACTCTAAAGTGGGTTTTTTAAATACACTTAAGATTCTTACAGTTTTGAGGAGAAACTTAAGTTCTATGGTATTTCTAGTCACTGCTATTGGCTTGTACCTTTGGCTCTAGAAAATGTAGTATGGCCTTTTGTAAAATTCAGACTGCTTCTGCCTGTGTTCTTACTGGTGCCTTGAAAATCCTCTCTTACTAGATACATTGAAATCTTCAAAAGTAGTAAGAGCGAAATCAGAGGATTCTCTGACATGCCAAGAAGAATGATGGGACAACAGCGACCTGGACCATATGATAGACCATTAGGAGGAAGAGGGGGTTATTATGGAGCTGGGCGTGGAAGTATGTATGACAGAATGCGTCGAGGAGGTGGTGGATATGACGGTGGTATGTTCATCTAATGAACACAGGTTCTCTTGGCAGTTTCATGTTTCTGACATGCTTGTCAAGAAATAAGAAATGGCACTAGCTGTAATGCCCATTAGGTTGGATGTATTTATCTGAAAAAAAACTTGTATCAAATCATGTGGCTGAGTATTTAAGATGAATGTTAATAATAAGGGAGCTATTTTCATTAGAATCAGATCTTTCCATTTGCATGTTTCAGTCTGTGTTACATAAAAAGAAATGTACTTTTGCACCATGTTCAGAAATCCAGGTTTGACAGTGTGCAGGGGCTGTTTGCAAAGTGCTGGCTGCCCAGAGACTGCAGAATTGAGTGTTGTGTGTGCATTGCTGTGTGAACTGTGAGCAGTGGTGTAATGGCTCCTCTCCTTCTCTCCACTGCACAGGATATGGTGGCTTTGATGATTATGGTGGCTATAATAACTATGGCTACGGAAACGACGGCTATGACGACAGGATGAGGGATGGGAGAGGTAAAAGAAATTCATAGTTTGTCTGGAAAGGTTTCCCTGTTACTTGAGTTGCAAGACACAGTATTTCCAAGACAGAGATAACAGTTTCATTCTGCTGTTTGGTAAAGAAGGCTGTTAAAAAGGGGAGGGGATTGGGGAGTCTAAGGTAAATAGATTGCTTAGCAGGGCTTCTGGATAAGGTTTGGGCTGAAACATGGGAAGTGTAAACACCGTGCATTCACTGGTATATTTAAGTGCTTTCAGAAAAAGAGTAGTGATGACTTTTGGCTTTTCATGATCTTAGAGGTGTGTGGGTTTTTTTGGTTTGGGTTTTCCAATAGGCATGGGAGGCCATGGCTATGGAGCTGGAGATGCAGGGTCGGGGTTCCATGGTGGAGGTCATTTTGTTCACATGAGAGGGCTGCCTTTCCGAGCCACGGAAAACGATATTGCTAACGTAAGTACCACGGGGGAAAGGGCTTCTCATGCCAAACTGTCCCAGCCCAACTGGGGGAGCCTTCTCAAACCAGTCACTGCTGCATCTGCACAAAGTTAACCAGCTTTTCTAGAGCTACTGTCTGAGGTGGGATTACCAGAGAAGTCAGCAAAGCTATATTTAACATTAATCCCTGCACTCTCTGCTCCTTCGTTTCCATAAAAGATGGATTGCAGAGACAACACTTGCTGTAATCAGTATCCTCATTTTAAGGTCTTTAGGATTTTTTTAAGCTTATCTGATTTGTCAGAATGACAGAAGGTGTGAAACTTAAATTGCTTAGTTTGCATATTTGTTTGTTAGCCTCTCTGAGACTTTATTTCAGGAGAGGCAGGGTGGGCAGGCTGTGTTGGTTTGGAGAGGACTGTATCCCTCTTTAAAGACATTGGGGTGGCAGGTAGAGGTGCATCTGCAGGATCTTGGGAATGCATTCTTGAGTCAGTGCAGATGTGGTGTTGTTGGGGAAAAGGTTTTCTTGGGATACAAGGCTTGGTTTAAGCACAGCACATCTTTGGAGAGAGGCTGTCTTGCCAGTGGCACCTATGTATTACATATGCAGAGCTCCATTCTTCAACTTCTGCTTGTTTGCTTTTGTGGGTGGGTTGGTTTATTTAAATGGAGGTGTATTTTCTTGTGACAGTTTGATTGTTCCATTTAGGGTAAAGACTCTGTGACAGCGAGGGCCAAAAGTCAGGCTTAGATCTGGGGCAGTGAGGAAGAGCAGTGCTATTGACAGGCAACTTCTCTTGAATTCCGTGAATGCATCCTTGCTTTGAGAAATCTGGAAGAGCAGAGCCAAATGGAAACCAACTGATGGTTTTCTTGCCCAGGATGCCATCACATTTAACTGTGCTGCTCAGAGCAGAGTGTGTGGGCAGGAGTTGTTTGTATCTGCATTCAAAGGAAGCTCCTCAGGCTCTGTAGCTGCAGCTCTCCAGGCTGTGTAGTAACAATGGGTTGTAAACGTAGGTTGACCTGATGCTGAATGTCCCACAACCACTAAGTACTACTTGAGAAGTGAGTAGTTACATCTGTGTGGTAGGATGACATTGAATTAAAGCAGTGCACCACTAACCATGCAAATGGAAAAAAAGTACCTGGCTTGAATTCTGCATTAACGTGATTGGTTTTTTAATTTGTTTTTTCCCTAGTTTTTCTCACCATTGAACCCTATAAGAGTTCACATTGACATTGGAGCAGATGGAAGAGCTACAGGAGAGGCAGATGTGGAGTTTGTAACACACGAGGATGCAGTGGCTGCCATGTCCAAGGATAAGAATCACATGCGTGAGTGTCGCGTTCCCTGGTGCTGCTCAGCCAGGCTCCAGCAGGGCTGGGAGCACCACATCCATCCTGAGGTTTTCCCAGTTTCCCATATTGCAAGCCTTGTTTGTGGCCTGCTGCCTGTGAGGGGGGTGAGGGTGTGCTTTGTACCTGTGCTTCTGGTCTGGAAAACAAAATACAAACTGAGGCTTTTTTGCTTCTTCAGAGCATCGGTATATTGAGCTGTTCCTGAATTCCACTGCTGGAGGTGGCTCTGGAATGGGAGGCTATGGCAGAGATGGAATGGGTACGCATCGATTGCACATTCAGCTGGTGCTGTGCCGAGTCTGATGAGTTCAGGCTTGTAACGTTGCACTTGTGGCTTTGCAGATCAAGGGTACGGCTCTGTTGGTAGAATGGGGATGGGCAGCAATTACAGCGGTGGATACGGAACCCCTGACGGTCTGGGTGGATACAGTGAGTACAAGTTCTCTGCCAGCTGGCCTGGGATGTGTGTGAATGGCTGTGGAGGGGGACAGGGCTGCTGCCTTTGGGCTGGCAGAAGGGAAAGAGGGGCAGTGGTTTTCTGGAGCTCAGTCTCTGGGGCCTTTGCACATTGTGCTGCAGACACGGGTTAAGAGCAGTAGTGCTGGAGCGTTGTTGGTGTTGTCACCTTCACCAGTTCTGTGTCACCCATCCCACTTTCTCTTCCTTTGAGGTATGTATGTATGTGTGACCTTGTGTCAATTGTTTGCAGGTCGTGGCAGTGGAAATAGTGGAGGATACTATGGGCAAGGCAGTATGGGTGGAGGAGGATGGCGTGGGATGTATTGAAGGATAGCCTTGCTTCTGCAGAACATCTTGGAAGAAACAGTCTCTGGTCTACTAGACTTTCTTACAAAATTTAATTTCTTTTGTATTTTAAGAACTTTATAATGACTGAAGGAATGTGTTTTCACAATATTATTTGGTAAGCAACAGATTGTGATGGGAAAATCTGTTTTCTGTAGGTTTTATTTGTTGCATACTCTGACTTTAAATAAATTTTTATATTCAAACCACTGATGTTGATACTTTTTATACTAGTTACTCCTAAGGATGTATTACATATTCCAGGCTACAGTCAGTTTAAAATGTTGTACTATGGTTCCATAAAGGTGGTTGTACTGTAACTCCTATGAACACTGATTCAGTTCTATGTACTCTTGGTCTAGTGAACAAATTGAAACATTCACTTGTTTAAGGGGAGAAGGGTAGATGAATAGGTTAGTTTCTTTGGTAATTCCTTTCCTAAACCCTTTTGGTAAGTTGTATGTAGTAACTCAGCACAGCAGAACGCTGTGCAGGCTCAGTCACTGTTCCAGCTTCCTCCTACTGCCAGCGCCCCCTGGACATGCACAGCTGTGAAGGGGCAGCACCCCCTTTGTGCCTCCACAGCACCCAGAGCCACGTTGGTTTCCACCTTGCTGGAGTGTTCACACCTTGCCCTGCCAGCCTAACAAACACAGCACAGCTTGTAGCTAACACCACATAGGTCAAATACTGGTTCATTCGATGCTTCTTAATTCTGATCTTTATCACAAACATGCTTTTAGGAAGAGTGGGGGATTTGGAAGCTACTTCTTTTCTTTCTTGCATTTATTGTATTTAAACACGGTTCAGCATTTTTTTCACTGCAGAGAGCTGATTTGTCTGTATTAGTTCAAAGTTTGCAAAGCCATTCTACATAGGAGCTCATTGGAAGCCAAGATCTCTAAAATACCTGTAGGCCCAATACCTTCTCAGTAACACACAACCCAAACACGGTGATAAAACTTTTTGTGCATTTGTGACATGTAAGATATGTAAGAAACTTATTGTTTGAAGACACTTAACATACCTGATGTGTAATGGAAAAAGGTATTTATTCTTCTGAGCCAGTGTGATCTCCCAAATTAACTGCTTTGTCCTCAATGCCTCCCTTAAAATGTCAAATGTGATCTTGGGTATTGCAAGTCTGTCACCTGTTTTGCTAGTACTGTGTTATATCTGTAATAAATGTCTTCTTGTGGGAGAGAGGAGAATGGAGTTTATTTCACCAGAGAGGGTGTCTGGGTGTCAAAGGGAGTGGAAGAACTGCAAAGGGGAACTGGCACAGGAACCTTCCAGCACTGGAGCAGCGTTGGCTAGGAAGGGGAGGGGAAATGAGTCCTTAACCGCTTGAACCATTGTAGCTCTACAGAATTAGGGGGCTCTTGGTCTGTTGCCAGGGCAGCAGAGGTGTTTCCCAAGTGGCAGTAGTAGCACCAGAGTTAATTCAATTGCAGAAGTACCTTAGAGTGAGGTGGAGGAAAGGTGCACTCGCAGGAGCCCGTTAGCGTGGGCACAGCCGAGAGCGAAATCCCGCGGCGCTGCAGCGCCTCCTCCCCTGGGAACAGCTGGGGCTCCGTCTTGGGAGGAGGAGGAGCTGACACCTGCCCGGCTGGGCTGTGCAGAGCGGCTGGGCTGTGCTTCGGGCAGGGTGAGCTCACTGCAGCCCGGCCTGGGCTGTGCTTCGGGCAGGGTGAGCTCACTGCAGCCCGGCCTGGGCTGTGCTTCGGGCAGGGTGAGCTCACTGCAGCCCCGGGAGCTGACACCTGCCCGGCCTGGCCTTTGCAGAAGGGCTGGGCTGTGCTTTGGGCAGAGTGAGCTCACTGCAGCCCCGGGAGCTGACACCTGCCCGGCTGGGCTGTGCTTTGGGCAGAGTGAGCTCACTGCAGCCCGGCCTGGGCTGTGCTTTGGGCAGACTGAGCTCACTGCAGCCCTGGGAGCTGACACTGGCCCGTGCTTTGGGCAGGGTGAGCTCACTGCAGCCCTGGGAGCTGACACTGCCCGGCCTGGGCTGTGCTTTGGGCAGGGTGAGCTCACTGCAGCCCCGGGCAGCACAACTGCACCGTGCGGGACACGAGTCCCGTGTGCCCGTCCTGTCCCTGCCCTGCACGAGAGCAGCGCTCAGCGCCGACCCTCGGCTCCCAGCAGCAGCACGGAACGGCAGAGGAGCCGCTCCCGGAGCCTGAGCAGAGCTGTGGCCGCTCCCAGGGGCCCGGGCGTTGCAGTCCCGGCTCCTGCCGGGCAGCGCCGGGCGCTCGGGGCTGCCGTGGCCCCCGGGCAGGCAGAGCACGCACGGGCACTGACCCTGCCGGAGCCCTGCACAGGGAGAGCACGGGGAGCAGGGGCTGACTCTGGGGCTGGCTGTCGCCCCCAGAGCAGCACAGCAGAGGTGGCTTCATTTCCCAGAAGTAATAAAATGCTGCTCTGATCCTGTCTGACAGTTCCAGGTTCTTTGGGTACCCCACAGCTCTTCCTATGCTCTTCCCTATGTGAGAAGGACTTAGGATCAAAAGCAGGGTTTTACAGAAAGTCAGAAATGCAGCATCAGTCACAGCAGTGTCCAAAAACCTTAAAACCAGGCCAGGTATGCAGTTTGATGCCAAGGAAACCATATGGAACAGCCAGCATCCATTTTGTTCAAGGCAGAAGTCTTACCTGCAGTCAGTAACAGCAATCTGAATATCACATACTTTTCCTATGCAATCAGGACAGCACAGAGGGGAGGAAAAGATGGCAGTTAAGTAACAAATTACTTCATTGCACATTATGGAAATGCACTATGTTCTTGTTTTAAAATATTGCCTACTTTAAATTATTTCTGTTTAGTTGCATCCCTTTTCACAAGTTATTTATTAAAGCAACACAGATTAGCTTTATCCTACCCTCTCTATCCTGCATCAAACCTGGCTGCCTCCATGCCTGCCCCACAAAAGCCCACCTGGAAACGCTCTCAGGAAGCACCTGAGCAGCACCTGATTGTGTCTTTGGCAGGTTACCCCACTCCCCAGCACAGGCAAAGGCTTTCTAAGCAACTTCAACTTAATAAAGTAAAATACTCTCAATTACAAATTTAAATTAAGTGACATTATTCTCACATAACTTAAATTTATTTTTTTCCAAAAGTTATTTACAGATTTACAAGTATTTGTGTGGTATTTTACAAAAAGTTACATCAGGTCATTTTAAAAACAATTTTCTTTACAAAAGCTACATAAGCAACTACATTGAGGTGTTAAAAAGAACAGCTATGTTAGCTCTTGGGATATTCACTAAATCCCTATCCTCAGAGACAAAGCCAAGCTAAACAAGGTGCAAGGACAGCTAAAGGACCTGTTTGCAGCCTCCCTTTAGCTGCCAGCACTGCTACTCCATGCCCACAGCTGAAGGAACTACAGGGCTGGAAATCCTGGAGGGTCCAGGGCTGGAGCCCAGGCCAGGAGTGGCTAAAGGGAGGAGGGTGCAGGGCAGTGAGTGGAAGTGAGAGCAGTTTATCAAAGGATATTATTTCTATTTGCCTATGGAAAGAACAAGGATCTTACATTCCAACAAAAGTTACCATCAGTGACAGGAGTGGGTAGACTCAGAAAGGCTGAAAAGTGCTCTGCAGAAAAATGAAATTTAGGAACCAGCTCTGAAGGTTTGAGAAAGATGGTGACAAAATAAGGAAGAAGCTCCCTGTGCAGCACAGAAAGGATGTGATCCCCAGCACTGCATCCCAGCCTTTCCAGGTGCTTTCTAGAGCTAGGCAGTGACTACACGTACAAGCTGGAGAGCATGACTTGCATGAAAATGCTGCAGAGCCTTGTTCAAGGTTACAGACAATGTCAGACAAGAGGCCTGTGCTGAACAGCTCTCTTTCAGTGGAAACACAGCTATATCAAATTAATAGTTCATGTGAACAAATCATTCAGCAAAACACACCTTCCTCCAGAAGTGCCCCAAGCACTGTTTGTGCCCTGGCTGAGCACAGCTCCCCTCACCCTGGGACTGCACAGAACGGCTGCAGTGCCATGTTCTGGGATGTTCTGGGATGTTCTGGGATATTCTGGGATGTTCTGGGATGTACCAACTGCTGCTAATGCAGAGAGGTAAACAAGCACACTGTATTTGGCAACAACTTCTCAGCCCACTGCATTCATTGCCATGCTTTTTTCCAGTACAATTTAAAACCAGCTACTGCAGGGTTTTGCTTCCCAACAGCCTGTCACAGGCACAGGATTAGGTTGGACTTGTGGCACATCAGCCTATGAGAGTATCACCTTCCTCCAGATCATCTTACCAACTGAAATATTCATCCAACACACATTAACACTGAGTCTCCTGTATAAACTGCCCTGCTTCCTCCCAAAAAAGCTGCTGAGGCATTTGGCAGACCAACATACCCTTCTGGGTTATTCTTCTTTTTAGATGTGCATTTTGTACATTTGGTCCCATTGTCTCCATTTGTTTCAAGAGGAAGCAGAGAAGTAACTCGTCCACAGTACCTTGAAATTCCAACTCCACACTGCTTACCTCAAAGTCTGGAAATGCTGTTGACATTCTTTAGTTGGTGTGGTGGTTTTTACAGGATGAGCTAACAGCAGAAGGAATAAATCTCTTATGGCACGTTGGAAGAGCACCTCTGTATCAGAATGGCATGGCAGGAGTCACAGACCCGCACAGGCTTTGGTGAGGAGGGCAGAGGCAGCTCATTGTCAGAGCAGGCATTGCAGAAGATCTCCCCACAGTTCCTACAGTGATGCTAAAGCACAGGCAGAGGATGAAAAATTGAAATTTAAAATGGAAATGTACTTGGTAATTGGATACCAACAAACAATACACACAGTGCAATCCAAACTGCAATTCCTGACTCCTTCGTGGAGTCAGTCTGCAAAAGAAAATGGATCTCCATCCCAAACTGTGATGCAATCCTACACAAATGATGTTTGTCTAGGACTGCACCACAGGCAGACACATGGCCTTTCTAGACTTATATATATATATAGATATATGTGCTGAAAATTTCATTCAAAGTCTGGATTAAGGATGTATTCTGCTATAGAAAAATATCATGAGCAATGATATCTGAAAGAGTGGATGCCTCTGACAGGTAGCTAATTGAGATTTAACATAAAAAGGTAAAGGAAACTTCCTGCACAAATTAGTAAAGCTTGGAAATTAATGTCACATTTTAGTTTAAAATTACAAACTCATATTTTCTTACTCTAGTATATAAAAAATGCCATAAAAAGACTTCTACACATGTGAAATTCTAAGGGTGCCAGAGCTGATAAGAGTTTGAGATAAAAACTCCACAAAGTAGTTAAATCATTCTTAACTAAGTTGCTCTGTGGAACTTCACTATGACACTGTTTCTTTTGAAATTAGGGCCCAGCTGCATTGTATGTATCAAAGAACTAGAAAAATATCTCAAAAATACCTCTGCTTTTACCTGATCATTGGCATTTCATGCCACACCTCAAAGATAATTATTATTTACATCATCCTTGTAATAATAATTACATAATACTTGTAAACACGCTGGGAGAAATCTTGTTAAAGTTTTACCTTCCTTTTGGAAAGTGAAAATTCCTTTTCACACAGCTTGCAATGAGTGGCTTCTTTGTCCTTCAACCAAACCTGGCCCTGGAGAAAAAATGATCATAATTATATTTATCTGATGAAGTTAAACTTTGGGCTCCAGGGGAGAAGAAAAACCAAGAGCAGAACATTCACTGCCTGAATGCTCAGTGCCCTGGGAGCAGAGTAATGTCACAGAGACACCCTAGAGCAGCACAGGACTGCCCCAAAACACTGCCAAAAAGACAGAGCAGAGGTGCACAGAGACCATGCTTGAGGTGCTAAAGCTGGGCAGTGCCTCAGCTGGGAGAGCACAAAGGCATCCAAGCCTCCAAGTGAAGCCAATGTCCCTGCTCAGCACATGGGAACAGCCTTCAAGATGCAGGGAAGCAAAAAAAAAACCCAAAAAAACAGGACAGTGTCAAGAATTGTGAATTTCCTTCTGTTAAAACCACTTAACAAACCCAGAAGTCTGCAGAAGTTTGCTCAACCATTTCTGCCACTCTTACCTGGACTGCAGCAGTGTGCCAGGTACACACCAGATGATCAAACCTGTGCACAGAATCTCTGCTCTAAAGTGCTCCCTGCTGTCTTTAACAGAGTCCCAAACCTGCTGACATTGCACATCACATTTTATCAGCTTTGGTGCTCCAAGTTCACTTGTTTCTTAGGATGATCAAATATTTATTGATCACTGAGAAGTAGGATGCAGTTTAAGCTCAGCTGGCTTCACATTCTGTCCCAGATACACTCTGTAAATGACAGAAGGGTTTGTGCCACTGCAAGAAAAGGGCCAAAATGCACAGCTGTGCACCAAACAAGGAAAAGCAAAAGCAAATGGATTTTTTCGAGGAAGTTACAAGGGAGTGTGGTTCTCTCCCACTGGAGGAAATCATACAGTGAGTCTCTCTGGAGTAGCTGCTGTTGGAGAGAAGTCTTTCCATGCTTATGAAAGATTTCAAAAAGAACACTTTAAAAAAAGTTTATTTTCTCAAAATGCTACTGACCTGCAGTGCCTTGTTAGCTTCTTTTATATCTTCTATTTTCAGCTTTGACCTAAGGAATAAGATAATGCTACTTCAAACTTCTACATGGTCAGTTATGCTCCAACAACTTAAAAAGCTGGTTTAGGTACTTAAATTTAAAGCCAAGTCCTCTGAACAAGAGTACAAGACCACATTATGGCATTCTGGAGGAAGCAGCCTCCCCACAACCATCCAGAGCCAATCCACTGAGATCTGGGTCACAGGACACACACACAAAGTTATCCTGCAGGGCATCAAAGGCCACAGAAATCACAGCAGACTGCTGAGGAGACAGAGCTCATTGAATGAAGCTTCAACACCACGGAACAGTCAGGAGAGAGCTGCCTGCCAGGTGTCCCCTCCCCTCCCCTGAACCTGGGGTTCATCTCCCTCCCAGGGTTTTGGGTTTGTGCTGAGCACAGGTTGGTAACACAGGGATGTTGCTCTTGGGGCTGGGCAGGGCTCACACAGAGCCAAGGCCTTTCCTGGGGGTGATGGGAAGTGAGGGGACACAGCCAGGACAGGGGATAAAAGGGACATCCAAAGGGATATTCCAGACCAATGGCATCCAGGGGACAGCCAGGACAGGGGATAAAAGGGACATCCAAAGGGATATTCCAGACCAATGGCATCCAGGGCACAGCCAGGACAGGGGATAAAAGGGACATCCAAAGGGATATTCCAGACCAATGGCATCCAGGGCACAGCCAGGACAGAGCAGAAAAGGGACATCCAAAGGGATATTCCAGACCAATGGCATCCAGGGCACAGCCAGGACAGAGCATAAAAGGGACATCCAAAGGGATATTCCAGACCAATGGCATCCAGGGCACAGCCAGGACAGAGCATAAAAGGGACATCCAAAGGGATATTCCAGACCAATGGCATCCAGGGCACAGCCAGGACAGAGCAGAAAAGGGACATCCAAAGGGATATTCCAGACCAATGGCATCCAGGGCACAGCCAGGACAGAGCAGAAAAGGGACATCCAAAGGGATATTCCAGACCAATGGCATCCAGGGCACAGCCAGGACAGGGGATAAAAGGGACATCCAAAGGGATATTCCAGACCAATGGCATCCAGGGCACAGCCAGGACAGGGGATAAAAGGGACATCCAAAGGGATATTCCAGACCAATGGCATCATGCTTGGTATATAAAGTGGGGAAAGGGGAAGGGGGCCTTTTGGAGTGATGGAGTTCTGCCTTCCCAAGGCACCATTCCATGTGATGGGCCCTGCTCTCCTGGGGGTGGTTGAACACCTGCCCAACCATGGGAAGCTGTGAATGAATTCCTTGTTTTGCTTGCTTGCATGTGTGGCTTTTCTGTAGTAAACTGCCTTTATCTCAAGCCTTAATGAGTTTTCCAGTTTCTGCTTTTCCAGTTGTCTCCCTGGTGCCAGTGTGGGGAAGTGAGTGAGCAGCTGTGAGGCTGGGGCTCAGGAAGAGCAGCCCTGCCCTGCTGCAGCCAGAGCTGTTACCTCTCCTTGGGGCTCCTCTGGGAGTACCACAGCTGCCAAACCAGGCAACTGTTCTCCTGCAGAACAAAGCCTGATGCCCTTCACACTGTTTTTGTTCAAACTGTTTTGTTTTGGATTCTCTGTTCACAGCACTGTCATTACCCAGGAGCTCACAGCCACCCCACCAGCCACAAGTAAAAATTACCAGGCCTGACCTAACTAGATACATTGACTTCTCCCAACTGGTTAGTTACCAAAACAAGTGTATATGACTAAAGTAATATGTGTAAGTCATCATGAACAATAAAATTACTCGCTCAGCTTGGATGCCAGTTCTTGGAGAGCAGCTTCCTGGTCCTCACATGTGCTTTTCAGCTGCTTGTTCTTCTCCTGAAGTTTAAGGAACTCCTTCAAACAAAACAAACAAAATAAAATGAATAAACAAATTATTCTCAAATGGTGCCTGCCCTACTGCCTAGGAAGCTGCTCCTACCGAGAAAGCCAAGTGCACGAGTGATCCCTCACACTCCCTCCAAACCCAGCCTGAACAGCAACTGCTCAGGAGAAAACTCTCTCAGACCCAAAGAGAGAAACATTTCTGCTTCTGTAGCCCACTGCAGGGAGAAAATCAACCTGAGTGACTGGAGATAAACCCTGGAAAATCAACCTGAGTGACTGGAGATAAACCCTGGAAAATCAACCTGAGTGCTGGAGAGGCCAGGAGTACAGAGAGCCACAGGCCCAGCCTACAGTGAGGACAGAGCCCCCCACACTGAGAAGGGAAAGCCAGGATTTCATTTCTGCTTATCCAAAGTACTGAGCTCTGATCTGAGGACTAAATGGGGAGTAAAAAGCCAATTTTTTCCCTCATTTTATTTGTGAAAACATATTAATGTAGTCTTTCTCATATATTTGCAGAAATTCTTTAAAATACCATGTCTAAGTCCATAAATAACATTGCAGTCAATTTGTAAATTTTTAGTAAAAATTTGCTGCAGAATTTACTTTCTTAAGGGTAACTATTTCTTGGGTCTCTGTTCTCAGATGAGACACATTTTCCTTTTCCTTCTGAAGATCATCCTCCAGGGTTTGCCTCCACTCCTTTTCTATCTTCAAGTCTGTTTCCAGCTGAAGCCTAGAACAGGGAAAACAAAACAAAAATCACTGTGCACAACAGTATCACTTTTGAAAACAAAACTGAGTTTATTTCTGGGTGCAATAGACTATTACCATAACAAACTATTAACTTACATGTTTTCTAAAACAGAAATAATGTGTCAATATAATATTTTAGGTATCAGTGTAATAAACAAAGCACTGTCATTTAGAAAATGCTTTTCAAAGTAAGTTTATTTAAAGGACCAGTAGTATGGCATAATTTTGAAGAGATGACCTTTGAAATAAATGAGCAAGAGAAGACTAACCACAAAATTCTGAGGTATTTTTAAAACAAGCATAGGCAAAGCCCCTTAACTTTATACAGCTTGTTGCTAAAATAAACCAAACCAACCAGCCACAGTGTCATTGGTGATGCAGACAATCATTGCAGGTATCTCTGATATCATAAAAGTTATTTAATTTTACACCCTTAGATGTGAATCTTCTATTTTAGACTAAGGTTTATGGCATTTTGAACAGAACTGAAAATAAAGGAGGAAGGACTTTAAATTACTATTTTTATTGAGGTTTCTACACAGCTGAGGTTCAGCATCAACAGGGCTACAGATTCTATTGGCATAACTGAACTCCAGCTAAAGGAGCTAGGGCTACTCTGACAGAAGAGCCATTCCAGCTGGAATTTTACTCTTGGTTTCATGGAAGACTTGGTGTTTTGAGTGTTATGGGGGTGGAAGCACACTGTTCAACCTTCTAGATTCAAACTGTGTCAACACAGGAAAAGAGGAAATAAAATCTGAGAGTATTCATGCAAGGTCTTTGGATGGGAAACCTACAGCCACATGAATTTTCCTGTTTTAAAAGCAAACCCACTTTTAAAGGAAAGACTTACATTTTGGGACACTACCTCAGCATCTGGCTGGAAAAGAAGTGAACATGACCTGGAGGTTTCAGAATTGCAGAATTCTAAGGCTGGGGTGTGAACTGTTCTTTTGCCCAAATCTGCAGAGGTGACTGTGGTAGTAAAGTGAACATTTGTCATGACAGTTGAACAAGTGGATTGAAATTCAGAGTTCTGAGAGAGGCAGGGAAGGGCTAATAACTGGGTTGGAAATCACTAATTTTTAAGCCCCAATCTTTGTGCCAAAGATTTACTTCAATAACTGATGTTTTATCTTCTCAAAGAGAGAAAGCACCTGTCCTTACAGGGAGCTTCTAACATTATGTACTGATTTAAATTAGTACTGAAGGATGTAACAGGAGAAAGACAGAGGGCTGGCTTTTAAATTAGCTTTTAACTTTCATGACTCCACTGGATTTTCACTTGTTATTTCCTGTGCAGTGGTAGTTTAAGCTGGATCAATCTAACTATTGTTGTGCCATTTCTGTTTAAGTTTACACTACTCCATACTTGTGGGCTTTGTTCAAAGTGTGTTTTACCACTACTCCACTAGGTATTTTCCCCCACTTAGGATAATTTCCTCCAGAATTAAGTTAGCATTTTTAGCCAAGAAATAATGCTGTTTCCCCTTTCCTTTCAAGCTGTATGTCACTTTAGAGGCACCCAAAGCCAGCTTGGCTTCCTTGGAATGACATATTTTCTTCTGCCTTGCCAGTACCTGACACAAAGATTTTTAGTATTTGCATTTTGTTCAAAACCATTTAACAACAAGCAGCCTGCACTAGGACAGAGGACATATTGCAAATGCAGAATGTTTACTGCCATGCATTTTTCCAAACAGGGAAGAAATACTCACAGCTGTTTCTCCTTCTGGGAGAATTCGTTCTGCAGGCTTTCAGATTTATTCACATATTCCTGTTTAAGTTTCTCATCCTCAGCCTCAGCCTCCATTTGAGCCTTCTCTGCTTGCTGCAATCTGGTGTAATTCAAATCAACTTTGGGTAAAACTGAAGCTAGAACTAGGGTGTAGAGGGTGAAGAAGACAAATAAAAGAAAAATGGGGAAATAGAAACATTTCTAAATAAAAACAAAGTTTGGGGGAAACTCACAAACTCAAACGAGAAATCCATACAATGCCTAGAGAACTTAGGTCCTGGGTTTGCACGGTCAGAGAGTAATCACGGTAAGTAATAATTGTTTTATTTATGCTCATGAATAACAGGTGCCAAAGCATGATACATATTTTAGAATTGAAGCTTTTCTTTTTCCTCTAGCATACGTTCATGTGTTATTTCTGAAGCCTTTTTCCCCCAAGTAAGTTCTGTAAGAGTCCTTGGCTTGCACTGATCACCCAGTAAGACAGGGCAGAGCGTGTGTTGTGCAAAAGCAGCTCAAAACAAATGAGGCATAAGGTTGCATACAGAGCACTGCAATCAGACAGCAAAAGACTTGACTAGCCTAACACAACAAAACACACCCTGACAGCTCCCACTACACTCACAGAACTACCTCAACTACATCATAATTAATTTAAATAGTCTGTAGTAAAAATAATGCATTCTTACACTGGTGAAAATAGCTCCATACTATAGACAAACCAAAATGATTAATCAAGAAATGAGGGATTGTTATTTGATTTAATCTTTTCTTTCTGAATTCCAGGTTTGTTCAGCTCTGGTTACTCTGTGGTGGGTGTATTGTAACGAAAGTAAATGTACTAAAAGGGGATTTGTGCTATATCATGGTTACACCTGCCTGGAGAATACAGGAGCCTGTAAAACCCCAATGAATGTCCCCACCTGACGCTCTGTGTTCTGCAGAACTGCCTCAAGGGCCTGTCAGGTAAGTGAGGAAGCAGTGAGATGGCTGACTTGTCACCTCCCAGCAGCTCCCTGAGCACAGAGTGACTCCCAGCTGCCAGTGTCAGCTAAAAAGAAGATGTGTCAGCAATATGTCTGCATTTGTGCTTCTGCTGATGAAGTTGCACCAGAGGGAGTTTCCAAAAGCTGCTGGTAAACAAGTGAACAAGGCTGGAATTAAACCACCTTATCAAGGGTGCACTACCTCACTCAGCTGCCCCAGGGGCCTGAGGGATGCTCCCATCACATCTGCAATGGCAGTGCACAGAGGCCAAGCTGTGGGAAGGAGAATGCAGGGAAAGAGCAGGATCCTCCCCAGTGCAGAAACTGCCTGAAGCTACACAAGACACCAACAGCACATTAAACCCTTCCCTAAATCACAAAATAACTGCAGGGCTGTTTCCACAAGCAAGGCAGGAAGGGAGCTTGCTACCCTCAAGCTGCAGCATCATCCCCAGCCCAGCACCAGGGCTGGCTGCAGTGCTGGGACTCAGGCAGATGCTCAGCTGGATTTGGCATGCAGGTGATTCTGTGGGAAACACTTGTTTGCATAGATAACATTGAGGTGGATAAGGCTCCCATTTCTGCCATGGTCTTCCTGTTGTTCTAATCTGTGTTTCTGGTTTGGGTTTTCTTTGAAGATAGTTATTTTTCAGTAGCCACCTCATGTTAAAGGCTGTTTCTGCTTCCAAACCAAGGAATAAGCTAGTACATAACCATGCAGTAGAAACCCTTTCTGCATTACTGCATCCTGCCCCCACTTTTACAAACATCCCCTTCTGCTGCAGAACTCTAAGGTCATTTTCCCACTCAACATCCACTACAGCCTTCAGAGCAAACATCAGGGAGTGCATTAAGGGCAGTCAGCAGGCTGAGCTCCTCTCCCTGCAGTGCAGGCAAGCAGCAGCTCCCAGCAGGAACAGGAGCTGGAAAGGCTCCTGATGATGGGTGGAGGGAGGGGAAAGGCTTTGGGCACAAGCACAGTGCTGATCCCAGTGCAGAGATCTCAGCTGACAAACGGGTTGGGCAGGTCCAGGGCCCTGACTGGAAATCCTGCTCACTGCTCCTCCTGCCAGGGCAGCTGGGCTGGGCAGCAGTCACAGCTACAGGATTTGCTGGAGCACTCTGTGTGCCTGGAGCCCCTCAGGAATCAGGCTCCAAGCACATTGTGGCTCCAGGAGAGTGTTTTACCCCAGGACATAGGGAGGTGAGCTTTAGCAGAGGCTGGCATCCCTTCACTGCACACACACTGCACAGATGCTGGCACCACCCTCCTTCCTCACAGCCATCCTTGTGAGGGAGCTCAGCTCCAGCTCCTGCCACTCCTGCTAGTTACAAGCACAGAGCCCAGCAGAGAGCGTGCTTTGGGGTAAATACAGCCTAAAACTGAAAGGAGTAAGCAGGGGCAAGGGAAGTTTTAGCCAGAAGGGCTACTTTGTAAATCTCTTACCTACAAAAGAACCAGGAAAATCACTAATTAGTGATTCAAGTGTCATAAAAATGTACAGTCAAATAAAGGTATCTAACCTCTTAAAATAAAATTTGACAAAGAAGTGATTCAATAGCATTAGAAAACTAGCTTACATTTGCTTAATAATAGTGCAGTAATTTACTTTTTTTTTCTTTTTTTGTTATTTTTTTAGGAGGGTAAAGTGAGATCGGAGGTGATGTTCTTTCAGAAAACAAACCAGAACCCAGCTACGATCAGTTACAGTGCAGGATTTCTAATACCACTTTCAAGTTTGAACTGGAAAATTCTGAGGTCCTATTTTATCAGCAATTATTTCAACACAAGAGGTCTGGAGGAGCTCTCAGAATGATATATCCTTGACAAGTTTATACTGGTGCTGAGCCTCATTGCTGGCACATTTGACGAATGACATTGCAATAGTCCTAGTTTGAGTTAACAGATCTTTGTCACTTCATGAATGCAGTGGACAAAAATCAAAGACAGATGAAGGCAGCAAAACAGTAAAAACAAAAATTGGGATAAAAGGATAAAAAGAAAAAGAAAAAAGAGGAAAAAAGGATGTCAATAAAAGAATATTCATGTCACTAATTTTTTTTAATACATAAGCATGTTTTTCATAATCAGATTTAAATGAAAAAAAAGACATGTCAAACACCAACATGACAGGGCTTATGGATATGTTATATTTTACAATTAGAAAGATCAATGTTGCATATAAGGCCACTAAATTAAAACATGTGAATCACATCTTAGTATTATGCTGTACATGCAGTCTAACCATCATGTAAATTTATATTCTGGAATTTTAGTCTTTCACTTTTCAACCTTTCAGTGTGAAAACTCATTAAGTCATTGAAAATAATGGCACTTCCAAAGCAATGGACAACAATTATAACAGCTTCAGCAAACAACCAGTGATCCTTGAAGGCATTAATGTTTATATTAAGCATATGCTTAAGTATAAGCAAGATTAATGCTTCAGTTTCTATTGCATTTCATTCGGGGGGGAAAAAAAGTAGGCAGTAAGGAATCAGAATTTTGAAACAACTGAAAGAATGACTTTTGATATCAGCATAAAAACCTAGGACCAGAAGAACGATGGTAGAGGAAGAAAACTGAAAGATTAAGTTTGCATTTAAAGTGAGTGTGTTTGTCAAACAGAAAAAACAGTCCAACAGCAAAGCACTAATTAGAAATTTCAGGAAGGTTTGGTTTAAATGTTCTAGTTGAAAATTACATTTCAATGGCAACTGTGGGAATGCAGTAAGATGTAAGGGAGTGGAGTTGTGAATAAAGAGAAACAAAGATGGGGCTGTACCTTTGTTCTAGTTGTTTCATAGTTGCATTAATTTGATTGGTCTTGTCCTCTAATCGACTAATTATTTCATTCTTTTCTTTCATAGCATCTTCAGAAACCTGTGTTACAAAAGAGGTTAAAACTGAAATTGGTACAATTGCACCAGTACCTTGCGGGGGCTTTTTTTCCAGTATCTAAAAGGGCACATGGTAAAAATCAAGTTTTGGTTCTCTTTAAGGATTGCTTTCCAAAAACCCTTGAGGACAGTATGTAAAATCTTATGCCTAGAAAATTTGGAGTTTTATACTCTGCAAGTGTAGATGCTATTTTATATTTAATAAGTATAAATGTTTCCCTTTGATTTCCTTCCTTGGTTAATCACTTTAGAAGTCAAAGTTAAATTCACTGACCAAGAGTAGCCCATTAGAACCTTACCAGAGAAGAGCAAAGAGCTTAGTCCAGAAAATCACCAAGACTGTCCTGCAAATCAACCCCTCCCCAGATCCTACCACTGGAGAACGTTCTCTTACTTTTCTCTCCAGCTCTATTTATATTTCTCATCCTCTGGTGGAATTTCCTCACATTTGCAGATTAGAAAGTAGAATCCTCTGTCCATCACTTCAATTATCCCTCTGCAGCATCCTAATTTTTTTCCCCTCATTCTGCCACAGATTTGATTGGGTTCTTGTGTTGGTTTTCAGAATTTATTCCCTAAATCAAATTCATGTTTTACATAAGTAATTCACTGGTATTTCTTAATTTGTTAACTGAATTTGGGGTCCCTGAAATCCATATTCTCCCAAAAAAAGGCATTTAATTGTTAAGAGATTTTCTTAATTTGTTAACTAATTTAAAAATAAACCCAAAACTGTAATTAGCTCTTTCCATTTAACATATTCTTGTCTTCCTTTCCCTACTTTGGAAGGTCAGGGCTTCTCTTCAACTCCTCACTATGTGTCTACATACTTCTGGGTTTTTTATACAACACAGGCCAAAAAATGTCTTTGTTACAGTACATTATTACTCTCTCAACTTCACATAGGATATAATTAGGCCATGATCTTATCCTCATGCTCTTTTCTTCCCTAAACCCAGGAAGTGACTGCCTTAATAACTTCTTTGTATGAAACCATGTTTACATAGGTAATGTTCCAAAATGTCAAGCTGACCTCAGAAGCACAAGGAAACCAAAACTCCAGCATCCAACTGCCCAGAATGGTAATAATGCATTTCTGTCTCTGTGATCCTTTCAGCAGTTTAACAGCAGATTGTCCCTTTACCTGCAGCTTTTGGTACATTTCCACGTTAATTGCTTTAACTTCATCAAGCTGCTGCCGCAGGCCGATGAGGGTGTCCTGCTTCTCATGGATATCCTTCTCCAGCAGCTTCATGGCGAGCTCTATCTCGTGTTTCATGCTAACTTGAACCACTAGCTCATTCTCCATATCCTATAAAACACAACACAATGGGTTTAAATCATTATGGAATTATTTATTTCTGGGTTTAAAATCTAACAGAGCTGCAGCACCACCTATTTTACCACTTCAGAAATTCTGCCCCTCTTTACCATTGCAAATTATCCATAAATGTGACACTCATATACTAACTGGCCAATGGGGTTTTTCAACTTTTGGAGAAGAGAACTCACATTATAAGAATGGTGTACTGTGAAAAATGTGTATTTTATGATTGGCTTTTCACAAATATTCAAATGAATATTATATGTGTTGTGTTAGAAAGTAATGCTGTATTAATTCTCTTAAGTACTGTGTTAAATATAGTTTTAGGTTATAAAAAATGTTAAAATAGAAACTATGCTATGTAGGATACTTTTTTTAAAGAAAGGACTTGCACTGAGATAGCAGCCACAGGACACCTGAATCTTTCAGAGAATAACAATTTATGGCCCTCTTATCAGAAGAAATGAACTTCCCACCTCGAAGGCACTGTCAGGATTCAGAGGAAGAAGCTGACACTGCCCAGACAGAATCCTGTCTTTAATGGAATTTATGCATCATGGATGAGGTGGATGAATATGCAACAGGCTGTTGCTTTTAAGGGTTAATCCTCTGTTAATGTGGGGCCTTTTTCGGGCTTATTTTGCCCAGAAAAGGTACCTGGACTGTCTGTAACTCTTTGTCTCTATTGTCTCATATTGTCCTAATTCAAATTGTCCAAATTATTATTACTCTAATTGTATTACTATTTTTATAACCATTTTATTACTATTAAACTTTTAAAATTTTAAAAACAAGTGATTAGCGTTTTTCACATATACAGAGCTGCCTAAGTATTAATTCCAAAAATAGAAGTGAAATATTTGTATTTTCACAGGAAAGATTTAGCACAGATAGAGAGCATAGAGTATTGCTAAAAGCTTACCTAAACATTTATCCAAGAAAAACGTGGTTGTTTTTTTACTGCTCTTCAGCAACATTACTACAGAAATATTGGTGCTCTGTGGCTACTCCCTTCAGAGCAAAGGCAGCACTAAAGGCAGGAGAAGTGGCACTGCTGGGCCAGTGAGGGCGGGGCAGGGCCAGGGCAGGGCAGGAGCGCTCACCTGCCGCAGCTGAGCCTCCTCGCGGAGCTGCCGGCGCGCCTCGCTGTACATCTCATCCAGGCCCTGCCTCGAGTGCTTGTACGTCTGCAGCTCTGCCTCCACGTCCACCTTGGCTGCCTGCAAACACACACAGCTTCTGGCTTCCTTCTTCAGAAATGCTGCAGCTTGATGGCACGAGTTTAATGTAGGCACACAGCTGGTGGTGACTGGGAGCGGGGCTGAGGCCCCATCCCCAGTGGTACAGCTGTGAAAAGCAGGGGAGCAGCACTGACAGCAATGAGCCGTGGAGGGCCCAGGGGTGCTGAGCAGCCAGGAATCCCAGCTTTTTCTTCCATCTCCCACCTAGGCTGAATAGCAATCATGATCATCTACAACCCTAAGCTTACCCTTCTCAACTTCTACCTATATGCTATAGTAACTGCAACCGTCTTCCTCACCCTAAACACAATCAAAGTCCTAAAGCTATCGACCCTAATAACTGCATGGACCAAAATTCCATCACTAAGGGAACAGAGGGCACACAGGTGCAGTGCATGACCACGAGGGTATAAAAGGCTGGGCTGAAGAACAAGAAGGGCAGCCACTGGCAGCCTTCTGGAAGAGTGTAGTGATAATCTGTGTGTTGTGTCCGTCTCAACTGCAACAATTCAATGCTTGTGGGGAATATGAAGAAAAACTTACAAACACATCCTCCAAGCACAGGATAAACATGGAAAGAGCTGCTTCTGCTCTGTGGCCATTGGCTTGATAATGAGAACTGAGTAAAACCAGCAAAACATCTATACTGCAGTACTGTCCTCCTTTGGTGTCACTTGAATACACTATACATGCATACAGTGTCCTAGAATTTTAATTTACTTATGCCATTTAGAAAGTTCCACTTTAATTTAATAAGCCCTTTCCCACATAAAAGTTGTACCAGATTTGGACAAGTTAAGCTTACTTGAAGTTGAGATGTACAAACTTTCAAACAGAAATTAAACATGTTATGTTACAATATTAAAAGTAGTAAAACTAACATACCTCTAAATGATGCTGTGTTTTCATTAAAATCAGAGTATTTTCACTCCTTAATTGATGGTTTTCTTCCTGAAGTTTAATTATATTGTTTTTTGCTATTGCTAACTGAAAAGAAACAAATTAAAAAAAAAAAAAAAGAAAAGCACTGTGACCACTTTTGAGAGTAGAAATAAAGGATAAAACGTTCTGATTAATGCAAGAGCAAGACATCTGCTCTATTGTCCCTGCCTGCCAAACAGAGGATTAGCTGTTTTTAAAGAAAGCATGAAGCTCCTGGTTTTAATAATGAGTCACCTTCACTACACAGCAGCAGTGTGTTCAGGATACTTCACTGGTTCATGTCTGGTGAAGAACATGCTTTCTTTTCATTGCTCCATTATGACTTAAAGACCCTCAATTCTCTTTCCTTGTCCTCAACTTCTGCTTTCCACTTGGCTTCAGGTTCATCCAGTTCTCATTTTCTTTTTTGGGCATCTTAATATATCATATGGAGCAGCTTACATAAGAAAGCCTCCCCCATATGAACAACAAACATATTTACAAAAGATGACATTTCATAACTGGGCCCTACAGTATACAGCCTAATGTCAGAATTATAAGCCAAAGGATCAAAATAGGTGGAAAGCTGGATTGAAAGCTTATAAAGGAACCAGAGAATTAACACTCAGAAAAGATGCTCTCACTCTGTCTGGATACATTACTCCCAGAGTGAGCTAGCTGTCCCTTCAGCAGCTGAATTTAGAGTTTCCAATTTTCCCCTTCATTAACCAAAAAGGTGTGCTCTTTCTTATAAAGCTAAGAATATTGGAAACTAGTCAAGCATCAAAGATAACCAGAAATATAGGCTATAAACACAAACCAGAACCAGACAAGGCTGAAAGTTGGGTATAAGCATCCAGGAACCAAGCAAGAAGCAATCCTTTGGCTAAAGCTGAGGACTGGAACAGAAATTGCTTGGTGAACTACTTTCTGTCTCTTTGTAGCAACTGGTGTCATCCATTCTAGACTAGTCATCTGCACAAATCAGACTGACAGCTGGCACTGAGAAAGGATTCTCTTCTCATTTTGTCCAAAGCTGGGAATTGCAGTGTTCTACAGAATTGATGTACTGATGCTAGGGGCTGCCTGGCAAACTGACTTCAAGTCCCTGCAGCTGCTGCCCCTCTCCTTTAGGCCAAAATAAAGGTACCTGAATATATTATACAGAGCTTCCATAGCTTAAAATAATGTAAGGATATTTTGAAAAACAGTCTTTCAGAGAAAACAATATGCTACACATTACTAAAATAAAAAAGTACCTCTTCAATCAGTTTAGTGTTTGATTTCTCCAGTGAGTCAACTCTTGCATGTAGACTGCTAACTGTGCTACTGAAAGGGAAAAAGAAACAATGGTTTTCAAGATTACATCAAAACTCACTCAACCAAGCTCAAAAGCTTTAATGCAAGGTAAAGTGATTAATGGTTAAGAGCTGTGAGGTCTGTTCCCATTACTGGAACTTTTCCTAAATATAAGAAAATGACTCTCCTTTGTTCAACATTTCTGTGCTGCTTTCCAATTCCCAATGTCACCCCTGTCACTTAAACTCCTGCTTGGCCAGAACTTCCATGCACTCTCCCTTTCCTTTATCCTCACAACCATATTGCAGACAAAAGATAAATGAGTTCTCCCCTATAGAACAAAACCATTCTCCAGATTCTCTTCCTCCAAAATACATTTCTTTTACAAAATCATTTGTTTCTCTGCATTTTTTGAGATTTGTCCTCAGGCTCCAGATTCTCTTCCTCCAAAATACATTTCTTTTACAAAATCATTTGTTTCTCTGCATTTTTTGAGATTTGTCCTCAGGCTCCAGATTCTCTTCCTCCAAAATACATTTCTTTTACAAAATCATTTGTTTCTCTGCATTTTTTGAGATTTGTCCTCAGGCTATCTCTTTCTTGATGCTTCTTGACTTCTTTTAGGAGTCTCACCAGAGTTTTATTGCCTTTTATTACTCTGTTGCTTTTTATAGTATCAAACTACATCCAGGCCTTTTCCATAACCTGATTGCCTATTTCTGCAGAAAGCACCATTTTTTTAGGCTGCACTTCACACACAGGGAAACAGAAAACCTATTTTGTAACACCATTTACTTTTTTACATCTTTCTCTGTGGTGCCCTCAGAAGTTGCCAGTTCATTTGGAACAGCAGGGCAGAGAGATGAATGCATTTTAGGATGTCTAAACACAAACAGCTGAACTGAAATAAAATGGGAGAGTTGCTGAATCACTGATGTGACAGGAAATTCTGTGCATAAACCAGAGTACAAGAGCACACAGAAGCTCACCTGGATAATGACATCAAACAAACACCACTGCTCTTAGTTGTGATAGCTCCTTTCTCCTCCTTGACTTCCATTTTGCTCATATTTGATGTGCTCAGCTTTTTTGTGCTGTTGAAGGTTTCTGCTCAGTGACACCATTTCAAAGCAGAATATCCTTACTCCAACAGGAGCCTTACAGTAACCAATGATCCAGATTACCAGCATTAAAAATTTAAAAATATTATTACATTTCCAAAAGGATCTAGATCAGCTGTGCTAGAGATTCTACAGAAGTTCTTTCTGGCTTTGTTGTTTGGTTTTGGTTCATTGGGGTTTTTTAGCTTTTTAGCCCCTCAGACTTTAATTTTGTACAATACTCCTCAGAGAATTTAAATCACTGCTCTTCTATTTGCACAGTAACAAGCACAGTGGTGGACTAGGTTTGTTTCATCCAGCAAAGCAAGAGGAAAATGCTGCTTTCCTGAAAATTGTTTCAACAATTTGAAACAGGAACCTCAGCCTACCACATGTAAGTAGCTTCTAGCAAGCAGTGAACTTATTCAGCTTCAGTCCTAGGCATTAAAGCCACAAACTAAAATATTCTGCAAGGCAAAGAAATAAAATCATATGGATTCAGCAGAACACTCAAAGCCACTTCTGGCAAACAGTTAAATGGAACACAATTAGAATCCAGACCAAGCTTTTTATTCCTGTGATGTTTTGAATCATGGAGCATCTTCCCATTCTAGCCTGTTGGTTTTGTGTTTCTCTGAAGAATAAAGGTTTTGCCTGTCCAAAAGCATGAAAACTGACACTGAGTCTCCAGGAGAGTGTCTTTTCCTACTTCACTAAATCTTCAGTCTAAATACAGAAAATCTGCAGCTCTTTCTGTGAAGTTCTCTCACAAAGCTGTGGTACAAAAGGCACCTGTAAGCCTGGCCTGACACCCATAGTTCAAAGTAATACTTACTTCAGTTGCCTGTTTAGCTCCTCAACATAATTCTTTTGGTCCAATATTGCAGCAATCTGTACATTTCTAAAGCAAGCACAAAATAAAATTAACAAAACGATGTACTAAACTATGGACTGAAAATATACATTTTTTCCATATGCAAACATCCATTTCAATCATGTTTTTAAAAAGAAAGGAAGCAACTTCATCTCATACTCATGAAGGTAACAACACACGTTATATCAGTGAGACACAAAAAAATGCAATGCTTTAACTGCAAACAATTTCTCTTCATGAAACAACAGTCTGAGAAGGATAAGGATGTTTATTTACTCTGCCATAACTCTGGTTCCTTGAAAGCCTGACTAAATCCCAAGCTGAAGCCTTAAAGGTCTGCAGGTTCCTTTTCACTGCCACCTGGGAAGCCTCCCCTGCTTGGAGGCAGGAGCTGATGCTGCTGAGGTTTGCTCCAGACTGCAAATATCCCTTCAGCTAAGTAATAACACAGAACAACACACTGAGGCACTCTTCTCAGGGTCAGAACATTTCATTCCTAGGGAACCTGACTTATTTCTAAAAGAACAGGCCCAGCCAAGAAATAATTTGTTAACATAGAAAACAGGGGGTGTTTTGGAGGACATACCTTTCTTTACCCCCAATGTCATCATCACTCTTCAAATACACAGAGAAATCGATCACCCCAACCTAGGGGAGAGCAAAGGTACAGTTTCATATCATACAAATAAGTGCTGCTGATATTTACAGCCTTGTATTTATGCAATTGATAAAACCTCAGTTACAACATTTTTAAGGTTCATCCAGTTTCAGCCAGAAGCTGGAAAACCTGAATTATAACACTTAAAACAAGATTTTACTACATTTAATATTTACTTGGTTTATACAGTGCTCTCCTGTCAGGATCCTGTATGTTCTTTCCATGTCTTTTCTAAAAAGCTTCTTCTCAAAATACTTTCTAAAAACATGTTTTTCTGATGAAAGCAAAATGCCATCTCTAACAAATAAGGTAAAATGTTCTATTTATAAAAGTTATTTTATTTCCATTCACTAGGGCTGCATAAACACATTTCACCACTGAGTAGCATTTTCTCAACATATCAAAACGATGCTCCTGACTGTGATTTCCATCAAGGTTCAGAAATTTACCTTTCTGCTCAATAAAACCTGCAGCTTCTGGCTTCTCTGAGAAGGTGCCTTCTTTATACTACTCTTCACAAACAGAATTATTCTGGACATGTTACAAATGTCAAATTGGGACACACTGCAATCAGAATCTCATCTGCCACTACTACCTCCTCAAACTGAGATTTCTCTCTCATGCAGCAAGGCCACCCAGTGATAACAGAGCTGTAGCTAGCAAGAGATTTTGTGGTCTATAATACACATATTTAATTCTCAACACTAAGAGCAAGTTAAGTTTTCTGTAATTACAGACCTGTCAATGTTATATCTTCTTTTACACAAGATCAGTGCCTGAAACTAACATTACACAGTAACCAGAACAAACAACTGAGGACAAGTTAACCACGGGATGCAAAAGCACACACACACAATTAGCTGTAACTTCTCTTTCCCAGAGGGGCTGCTTTTTCACCAAATATATTAATGCAGTAATAACCACTTAAGCTACTATGATTTATTTCCACATAGAAGCTGAAAAAACCCAGTCAGGGCTGAACACAGTCCACATTTATTTACAAATACCTGTGCATCTGCCTTGAAACAAAATCTGTTAATATTTTCTTGGAAGAGACCAGGGTTAAAAGTCAAAGCCCATTCAAAGCAGGAAGAATTCCAAGTCTTGCTTTGCAGAATCAAAGTAGTCACCCTCTCAAGAGGTCATAAGAGAGTGTTTGTTTCAGGACCCTGTATCATTCCTGTGATGTTCCAAAACAGCAATAAATGAAGCAAGCAGGGTAAACTGATCATGGAACTATCCCTACTTGTCCCACAGAAGAAAAGGCTGGGTCACACAAGTCAGATGGAAAGAACTCTGCCTTGCTACAGCTGCTCCCATCTGAGGACAAAGCACAAAGCTTCACCCTTGCACTCTGCCCATTATCTCCATTCCAAGGTCTGACCCCACTGATAGTGAGGTTAAGGCAACAGCCCCACAGAGCCTGGAGCTGGATCATCACACCCTGAGCAGTCTCAGGTAGGATTTCTAACAAGTCACCACTCCAAAGTAACAAAATCTACCAAGAAAAGTACAGAAAGCTCTCCTGGACTGCCTGTACATTCCTTTACCTGGGTGGACTTACTTGTGAATCCAGGTCTTCTCCCTTCACACACAGGTTGGCATCGATCACGTTCAGCCCAACTAAGAGCCCAACAATCACTGCTCCTTCCTCCTCCATCATCAGTGCATGATACTCATAAAACTCACTGTGTGAAGGAGAAAATTGCACCTTACTGCTATATTCATTCTATATACATCCAATAAATTATTCAGAAGTGACATACACATCTAAATTTTCTCTTATTGTAGCCTTACTATAGCATCCATAAAGATGAAATGGCCCTGCCCATACTTTCACCTCATAAATATTTAAAAATTCAAAGTTTTTCTCAGAGGCTATTAAAAACAAGGATACTGCCTTAGGCTCCAGATGGCTGGGACACTGTGGGGACGGTGACAAGATTTATTTTGACTTTAAAAGAAAACAAACAAACAAAAACAAAAAAAAAAGAAAAAACAATGTTGAAGAGGATACTGCAAGAAATGGATGTTTGGCCACACTGAGTCAGACAACTCTTAAGTTGTTAAGAAGCACGGCAAGCAATGCAAAGGAAGAATGGCAGAAGAATTACTTTTTGTGGAAAAAAATGCCTGGAATTTAGTGAATACATGCTTGAAATTCAAGGACCCAAGGAAGAGATTATATGGATAAAAGAGAAACTTAAGGGGCTGAAATGCTAAAAAGGTTTTTTTAATATTGTCATAGTTTTGCACCAAAATCACTACAAATATAAATACTTCACTGAACAAGAGAATACCAGCACTTTCTTCTCCTTGCACTTTTTGAATAAAATTTTAGGTTCTATGTAACAAACTGTCTTTTCACTGGAAAAATCCATAGCTGCTGAACACCAGTGACATCCTGACATACCAGTGTTATCTAGGCACAAAGTCAGTCTTAAAAATATGTATACCTTAGAAAACTGAAATGAAGAAGCATCCTTCTCCATTGTGTTTGAATGACTCCATCAGACAGGAGAAGTTATACCAGAAGAGAGCAATGCCAGTGTTAGAACTGTGAAAGCAAAGCTCAAAGCAAGAGCCCTCCTTCCAATGGCAGCTCAGCGAAAAGCACACCCATGGTGGGGATGAAGTCACCTCCTCCCCAGCGCACAGGGGGGAATGCAGGATTATTTTTTAGGAGACTAAACCTCTGGAAATGAACTGCACCCAGACTCCAGTGAGTTGTGTACCTGAGCAGGTCTCTCTGAATGATTAAACAGCGAAGATAATCGGCCATTTTCTTCTGCATCAGCGCCAAGCGCAGCCAGGCCCGGGCGCGGCCCAGCGGCGTCCTGAAACAAAGGCCACAAGGACAAACAGCCCCAAATTAACAAAATATTGATTACATCGTGCTCTTTAACACCTTATCAGTCTACTGGTGGAACAACTGAAGGGGTATTTTAAGCTATTAGTTGAGCATCACCATGTGGAAAGCCATAATGTTTAGGCTTTGACTCCAAGCTTCAGGATAAGACTTTTAACTATTCAGCTGAGCCTGGGAGCAGACCCAGGAAAAACAGGAGTACAGACTGCACTAGAGCCTGATAATCTTGAAAGTCCTGTTTTCTGCTGAAGTAAAATGCTTGCAACAGTTGAGACTCCTTTCTGCAATTTGTTTGTTAAGAGTTGAGGGGAATTGCAAGAAAATGAACCAAATGTCCATCACAAGCCACCATGGCAGCTTCCCTTCCCAAATCCTACTCTGGCTCTACCCAACCCTTACTCAAGCCTACCTTTAATTGTGTGCAACTTCAGTGCTATCTTAGGAAGACAATGCAAAAAAAGATGAAAAGATAAAAAGTTACATAGGTAACTGGCAAACATGAATACCCAGCAAATTACACCTGGACCTTTAGAATTTCCTCTTCTAGTGCTTGCATACTTACAAGTGGTAAGCACATCAATGAAAAAGAAAAACCCCTCACAAGTTGTGTTAGGATAGGAAGAGAGTAACACACCTGGCAAAGGTTATGACTTCCTCTGGCCTGCCACAAGAGTAAATAATTATTTATATGCCTATGTGCTTTAGATAAGGTCTAAAGCTAGAAATTAGAACCCTTGTGCTGCCCTGCACCAGTCAGGGCAACCAAACCCTTTTGGAATTTCATGTGTGGCCAATTATAAAGCTAAATACAAAACAGAGTGCACTGGAATGGGGAGAGAATAAATTTACAACTGAGTAGGACTGTGCAGGCAATAATCTCAAAAGCTGCCTAACTCCTTCCTCTTTGGCATGTCACCTTGTGGTTTGATACAGCCTTTGCTGACTGCACCCACCAATGTTTGCTGCAGCTCTAGACTGCACAGCGACTGACACACAACCTGCCCCTTTTTGATTGTTATCCAGCTCCCATTCACCTGTGCTCCCCCCTGAACTAAGGCTTGATTGATGCCAAAGGAAATCCTGAGACACCTGCAGATTCTCAGTCCTTTATTTTCCTGCTGCATTTTAACAATACTACTTACTTAAGGCCAGGCAAATCTCTGACACTTGCTGCTATTTCCTCAGCTTCTGGATATAATTTCTCCACAAGTTCCAGAGGACCCCAGATGGTTTTATTGTAACTTAGAAAGGATTTTCTTACTATGAAAAGAAAAATCAAGTAACCAAATTAATTTAAATTACTGCAGTAGCTTCCTTCATAATATCTGGTGTGTGCAAGGGTTAACTGCTGAGTCCAGAGTTGCAGATAACTCTTAACTGAGACACTGGTCAGCTCACCAGTATCTAAAGCCAACTTCCAAATTACTTTGCTGTGAATATAAAATTGATATGCTAGAAAAAAAAAATACAAAAAGGATGTTCATAAAGATATACACTACATACATACATGCAGTTGGTAAACCCTGGACCACTTACAACAAATGCTGCACAAAAGGACAAGTTGGTAAATGTGGAAATATATGTGGTGAAGAATTAAAAATTACACTATTCATTATAAAAGGTGACCATTTACTTCTTTTTTATGCAACATTACACTTTTTTAAAATCTACTTCCAGATAGAAAGGAAGAAAAATGGCATGTTTGGGATGAGAAATATGCAGCTAGACCAATTTGCACACCTTTCAGGCCATGCTTCAGGCAGTGCTCCATGACAACAAAGAACTGCTGCAAAGGTGGGTAGTCAGAATCCAGAGTGCGCCCAAAGCTCAAGGCTGATTCAATGAGTCCTTTGATACTCAGTTTAGCCATGTTTAATAAATTTGCTCTTTCTACAGCTGTAGGGTCCTTTACAGCTAAGACAACAAGAGAAAAAAATGTTATGGTTCAAGTTTTAGGAGCAACACAAAGAATGAAAGTGCTTCACGTCCACCTTGCTAAAAGGAAAACTTACGTTAAGCTAATAAACCTAATAAACTCAGCAGAACAAATTCAGTAGGTGCTATAAACCACCATGCCACAGAGAAGCATCCAGCCCAAAGCACATCCCCAGTGTTTTAATGGGTTTAATGGGGAAATCCCAGGCTGGGAATGTCAGTTCTCAGGAACCATGCTGTCCCAGCAGGTCTCAGAAGCAGCCAAGTCACCACAATTAACACAGCACCTCTGCTGCATGTGCCCTCCCACGGTATCAAAGCAGCCTTTCTGTTAATTTATGGATTTCTTTGGTGTATTACAGCCTACCTACAGAAGCAGACATCATACTTTTTATATATATATATTCACTTTCCACTGTAGCTTTAATTGCACTGTGACACAAACACATGCCTTCCTTCTCAGGCTGTTCAGAGTCACTGCCACTAAACCAGGAGCATTTTCTGGAAAATACTACACACTGAAAATTCAATTTCTCACCTAGCCACAAAGTATTTTCTACACAGAAAATCTTAAGAATTAAAGGTTTTGCTTTAACTTGAAGTTTTTGGTAAACATTACAAAGTGTATACACAAAAATACATTTGAGGATTAAATCTTGTCAGTAAAAAATCCATAGCTTTTTACAATCATCTTAGTCTGACAGAATGGACAAGGTTCCTCTTCTTAGAAATCCTGCTACTGAGAACAGAGTGCTTGGGAAATTCTTAAGAATTAGTTCTTATTTTTATTTATAATGAAGCAATTCAAACATTCAGGCCAGACCCTATTTGCTCAGAGACAAAACAAGCCTCTGATTATTCATCATCATCAAAGTAACCTGGAAAGAAACAAAAGGGTTTGATAATTTACTGCTTAATTAAATCCAACAAGTAAAGTAAAAAACCAAACTTTTTAAAAGACATTGAGACACAGATGTCAAAATATCTAGAAAGGCTTGCAACTGAGAAAAAAAAATGTGAGCCTGTTCCTTTGCAAATCTGAGTATTGGTATCTGATACAGACTGTATCTGTCTGCACATCAGAAAGCACAAAGAACCCAAAGCATCATAACAGATGGGCATTTTCTCAGTTCCTCAACAGCACTGAAATTACTTGTCTCATTTCCTGCAGACTTCAGGTATTTAGGGATTGGATATTAGAAACCCTGAAAATTACTTTCTAATATTCTCTTTCCCTAGTTGCCTGCCAACTACCCCTCTGCTTTCCAGGAAAAACAATGACTGAGATTATGTACATGTAACAGCCTTAAAAAACTGATTTTATAGTTCCCCAGAACTTCCACAGAAAACCCCAGGATACATGAGAAACAGTAAGATAATGAGAGACAGGGCTCTGACAAAACTGTACCCAGCCAGGAGCCACAGCTCAGTGCTTTGTGTGTTCCTTCCTTCCTGCTCAGCTGCTGGGGACTGACCAGCTCCACCAGAGCAGCACCAGCACAGCAGCCCCGGGCCAGCTGGAGGCTGGAACAACAGCACCTTTCTGCAGGCTGTTTTTTTATTTGCTTTGCTACTGACAGCATTAAATACAAGTGGTAGAGGAGGAAACGCCTTGCTCAATGCAGACTTCAGGTGGGTAGATCTCCCTTGCTACACATCCTGCCTTCTTGAAAATTCCTTTGTCAGGTGACCTCATTCTGACTCCTGGAGCCGATCCTCCTCAGACAGATTTCTATGTCTGCTGTCCTTTCAATTACCAGCCCTCGCCTGCTCTTTCTGAGGCGAAATGCATCCTAGATCTGTTTTAAAGTGCGATCCACCCGCATGTTTTTCTTCACCTGCTTCTTAAAAATATAAATGGCGAGCAGTTTTTTTAAAATTTAAAATCAAGATTTAGAATTTAACACCACGGTGTGAAATCCTACATCCCAGCCACCGCTTGGGTACCGTATGGGGCATTACATGGAGCAGAGCAAGGGGCATTACATGGAGCAGAGCAAGGGGCATTACAGGGGGCAGAGCGAGGGGCATTACAGGGGGCAGAGCGAGGGGCATTACAGGGGGCAGAGCGAGGGGCATTACATGGAGCAGAGCGAGGGGCATTACAGGGAGCAGAGCGAGGGGCATTACAGGGGGCAGAGCGAGGGGCATTACAGGGGGCAGAGCGAGGGGCATTACAGGGAGCAGAACGAGGGACATTACAAAGAGCAGAGCGAGGGGCATTACAGGGGGCAGAGCGAGGGGCATTACAAAGAGCAGAGCGAGGGGCATTACAGGGGGCAGAGCGAGGGGCATTACATGGAGCAGAGCGAGGGGCATTACAGGGGGCAGAGCGAGGGGCATTACAGGGGGCAGAGCGAGGGGCATTACAAAGAGCAGAGCGAGGGGCATTACAGGGGGCAGAGCGAGGGGCATTACATGGAGCAGAGCGAGGGGCATTACAGGGGGCAGAGCGAGGGGCATTACAAAGAGCAGAGCGAGGGGCATTACAGGGGGCAGAGCGAGGGGCATTACAGGGGGCAGAGCGAGGGGCATTACATGGAGCAGAGCGAGGGGCATTACAGGGGGCAGAGCGAGGGGCATTACAGGGGGCAGAGCGAGGGGCATTACAGGGAGCAGAGCGAGGGGCATTACAGGGAGCAGAATGAGGGGTGTTACAGGGAGCAGAACGAGGGGCATTACAGGGAGCAGAATGAGGGGTGTTACAGGGAGCAGAATGAGGGGTGTTACAGGGAGCAGAGCGAGGGGCATTACAGGGAGCAGAGCGAGGAGCATTACAGAGAGCAGACCAAGCTCTGCAGGGCTCTGCTCCCCGGAGCAGCAGCAGCCTCCCCGGCAGGGCTGTTCGCAGGTAACACCAGCCTGGCCAGCATGGCCGGCTCCGAGGGGGGAGCCTGGGCCCGTGAGGCGGCTCGGCTCCGCGGCCGGGCAGCAGCCGAGCGCGGCCGCTCGGGCCGGGGGCTGCGGGCGCCGTCCCTGCGGCAGCGCCGGCCTCTCCCCGCCCGCAGCCCGCCCGCACCCGGGGCACCGCCCGCCCTGCGGGCCCCACACGGCCCCGCTCCCCCCGGAACCGCTCCCTGCCCGCAGCCCCTCGGCCGAGCCTCGGCCCGCGGCCCCCGCCCCGCTCCCGGCGCCGCAGCCCCGCTCACCCATGGCTGGAGAGGAGGAGCCGCCGCCGCGGCCGCTCCCTCAGCGCCCGCGGCTCCTCCCGCCCTCAGCCCGCGCAGCGCGGCGCCCCCGGCGGCGGGAGGACCCGCCCCTATCGCGATAATCCCCCCGCCCCGGACACCGCCCCCGCCCCTATCGCGACAGCCCCTCCGCCCCGGGCACCGCCCCCGTCCCTATCGCGACAGCCCCCCCACACCGGCCCAATCGCCCTGTCGCGACAGCCCCCCCTCCCCCGGCTCCAGCATCAGCCACAGGGATGGGCAAGAGCGCCAGGGCAGCTTGGGCACAGGAGGCCTTGAGGCCTTTCTGCCCTTCTGTAGTGACATGAAGCTTCAATCCCTAGCATTTATTCCAGATAATAATTCTGTAGCATGTATCAGAATAAATAATTTCCTTCTAGAAAAATCTGTGAGTTTAGTACCTTTAAAGGTAATGTGCTGGGGAACTGAAACCAGCATTAAAAAAAAAAAAAAAAAAAAAAGTAAGTTTTTGGGGTTTAATCTTAAGAAGCCCAGGAATGTGAATCTGGCTGGAAAAGAGCCAAAACTCACAGAGCTGTTTATCACCAAGCACATTTGTCACGTCCAGATGGGATCTCAGCTGATGCTTACTGCACCCTAAGCACTACTATATGCTTTGCTTAATAATTATTCTTTCCTCTCACCTTTTTGGGCAAGGCTAACCAGCAACCTGTAAAATAAAAGTGTGTTATTTTCCTTGCCCAGCTTCAGAGACTGCACTGAACAGCACAGAGGGTGTCACTGCCTGGGCCTGCAAGGAAAGACCAAAGGACAAGGGACAAACCACAGCCCATGGTGACAGAGACACTTACAGCCACCCTTCCCACCTCTTACAAGGAAAAAGGAACCTATACATTTAAATATCAAACAATTCTGAAACAGTCACACTCTGATCCTGCTAGTCTGACACAAAACAACTTCCTTTACTTCCTTTTTTATTCATTTCTGGGAATCCCAGCAACATCTGCATGTGTTCCAGCAGCACCAAGGGCCGCCTCTGGATGAGGAAGCTGTTTCAAAGGCAGCACACAAAAAAGTGATCCTTTACTTCTAAAAGATGCTCACCTGCTGTATATTCATTGAAACACAGAGTGGTTTAGAGAATCACATCTCAATTTTGTTTGAGACCACCAGAGCAAAACACGATTTCACCTGTAGGCTCAGGATTTGCTGCTCAGTCTAATTTTTACCACATGACAGGGAAGGATGCATTTTGTAAGTGGATTCTTCTGTTTGTTTCTCATACACTTTCATGATTGAATGGCAATACCTTTAATTTATGTATTAAGTTTTTAATAGCATGCAAACCATTTCCTGGAAACGCATTGCTTGGTGTAAGAGAACAGATTAATGAAATCTTAAGAGCTTTCTACACACAGATAGAAAATCTCTTCTAAAAAAGTATTCTGCTGTCACTACTATAATAAAGAGGATATTTTACCCTATTTTTTTCATCTTTTGAAAGACCCAGAGCACAGGCACAGTTGATGAAGCATGTATTTTCACCTGAAAAAGGAGGAGATTTTCAAATTATTGTTGTACTGTTCTAAGTATTTGCCTTGTATAAAGCAAAGTGTTAACAAAGTATACACAACTTTATGAAACCAACAGCAACTTTTATTAGTTCAAACATTACAAAAAGTTAGGGAGCAGTTTAAAAGAGTGAAAATTCCCACATTTAACAAGTTTGTCTGCAACTGTATGCACACAGCTACTTGACATTGATCCAAGAAAAAACAAATGCTAATGATTCTGAAGAATCAAAAAATTGATGTTTCCACCAGCAGCCTTGGAAAGAAACTTCTCAGCCTCTTCGGTGTAAAATATGAGGTAGCATAAAGAAACTAACAGAGATCTCTCAAGTAAAAGGTGTTTTCTGTTGTTTATATGCCATCATCTTTAAAAAATACAACCTGGGCATGTAAGTTTCTTAGTCACCAAGCTGCATGTCTAGTTTTGTTTCCTTTTTGTTTTCAAGACTACAGGTCAGATAAACTGAAAACAAGAGTTCTACCATGAAGCATTTCACTTCAGATTGGTCTGCTGAACACAGAAATTATTAACAGGGGATGAAGTGAATCAGCATCACATTTCTCCCTGAGGTATGCAAAATCAAGAGATTAGAAATGTCATCAAGGGATCTTCACATGAGAGATTAATTACATTATGTATATAAATATAAAAGACTTCAGCATTTTTAAAAGCAGGAGTAGACTTCAAAGGACAATGTGAGGTTTTGAAGAAGTGGAAGAAGTTTTCTCTGGTTTTTTTTCCAAACAGCACAACACAGCACCTTAATTAGGAATTCTAACAAATGGAATTATTGTATGTAAACTACATCTTCAAGTTATTAAAACCAAATAGAGCCCAGAAAACTGACTCAGTACAACACTGGTCTACACTCCCTTCCCCCTCAAGTGCTTCCCCAGTCACTTCTGCAGGTAACTGTTCATCAAGGTAAGAGAATATAGCAATATCCAGCAGGAAGGAACAGAGTGCTTCATATTTCTGGTTTGTCACAAGCTGGGTGCTTTAGTTCTGTAACCATCAGCTTTTTCAAGTAATATCTGTTATTCTACTGAAAGGAAACTTCCAAATAATTGAATGCTTCCTGTTTTGGCTGCCTCCAGGCTGAAGAGTGCACATCAGCACTGACACCCCAATTCCCAGCTATGTACATTAAACAGCAGCAGAAGATACAAAGTCCTGTAAAACTTCCATCTTCCCACTCATAAGATGTTACACTTGTGGATACTTTCATGAGCCCCGGCTGGAAGATTCAAGATGTAGCAAGTTAAGGAAGCATTTTAACACTTGGCTTTCACAAAACCTATTTGAATATGCATGGATGTTTGCAAAGAAAGCAGCTAACAAGGTTCTTTCCTGTTTAAACAGGAGATGGAAACGGTAATAGCTAAAGCTTATTCAGTACAATGCCAGAGAGAAAGAAAAAATTACCAAGTCATCTGAAAGTGACACTGCTTTCCTTTCCACCAAGATTATTCATGAAGCAGATGTGTTGAGTGGAAGAAAGAAATCACACTAATGTTAAGATGCCAAGAAACTCAAAATGATCACAGGAAAAAATGCAAAAGCATTAAAATTAAAACTTCAGGCCTCGAAATCAAAAAATTATGGCCAAGTTGACTTGCAAGTCAGCATTGACTTTTTCTGCTGTTGAAGACAGAGAAGGTTCTAAACACATCCACTAGCTTGATCTCAAGTACACTTCTGGCAAATCTAATCAGCACATTTTGTGTTGTGCTGCCAATCACTGTTAAAAGTATAACCTAAATAATCAAAGATCTTCCCATTCTCACCTCAAATCTCCCTGAGTCAATCCCAGCTTTCCCCTTTCCCGAAGCAGCATGGAGAAAAGGATATCATTGCCTGGGACTGCAAATGGCAGAGGAGCTTCTCCAGGGGAGGGTAGCAGCACAGGGAGGGAACACAGCCCACCATGACCAGCTTGTGCTTGGCTCTGGTGATGGCGACGTTCAGGCGGCGCCAGTCCTTCAGCAGGGTGCCAAGCTGGAAAGGAAATGCCACTTGCTTTTATTTTCCCTACTTAAACCATGAATAGGAAAAACTTATGGACATAAACCACTCATCTTCAAAATGCATCTAAACTACTGAAATTGACTGGAACATGTCAGCACCCAGGACATCCCTCTGGCTGTCCTGAGCAGCCAGACCCCTGCCAGGGGGCTCAGAGACCCTGGCACAGAGGCCAAAATGCCCCTGTGGGTTTGATTATGACCCATGGAGCAAGTTACCAACCTTGTATGAAGCCATGCAAGCCATGACAAATGAAGTAGGATGATAGTGAATTAATCACAGGGTGAAAAAGGAGATTTTGGGGTTTTTAGAATGGGGATTCAGGGGGGCAAGATGGAGGGATCTGGGCGTGTCCAGCCTTTCTCCTTCTTCTTAGCCTCCATCTTCTGCTGTGACATTGGCACTTTTAGATTGGTTTAGAGTAGAAGCTCACTGTCTAACACAGGTGATGGGTATTGGGAAGTAATTGTAAATATTGTACACATAGTTTTTAGTATAAAAACATAACACTGCCCTGGGAGGAAGCAGAGTGCTTTGGGCTGTCTTGCTGAGCCGACCTCAGCAGGGCAGGAGAAAGAATTTTATAGATAAGATACAATAAACAACCTTGAGACTGAGAAAGGAAGGGCTCTGACTCCTTCAAGCCCAGGCTGGGAAAAGAGACTTTCCAATGTATCTTGGGGTCACTGTGCCCAGCGAGAGACCCCGACAGGAACAAAGCTAAAATGACCAACTTACATTTTCATCAATACTGCTCCTAACAAAAGACACAATGATGACACTTTTGTCTCTTCCTTGGTATTTGTCAACCGTGTTCACTTCCACTCTGTTCTCCTTCCATTTTGCCATCAAGTCAGTGATGGTTTTTAACTGATGTCTGTAGGGGGATATGATGCCAATGTCTGAGGGCTTACAGCCAGCCTGAATGAAGAAGAAAGCAGAGAAAAAATCTGTCACTACAGTTGGCTTGGGAAAGTCAGTATGGTCAGAAAGATTCTTCTAATTAATTTCTTTTAAACAGTGCTGCAAGATATTGTATCTAAACTAAAGGAACTGTAGGTGTAACAAATATTAACTAAAGGAGATAGAAAACATCAGTTACTGCAAGCTCCCAAGCTTTGTCTTAACTTGGCACAAAGACAGATATCCTTGAAATCCTCATTTTTCTTTCTTCTTCAGACTGTGAGGTGAACACTCGGAGCTCCTGCTCTGTATTTCTGGATGAAAGAAGGAACAAAGGCAAATCCTCTCCCCTCCCTCATCTCTTAAAAGAATTTGGCATCCAGCGTTTGTTTTTTTTGCATCTCAGATCCAAGCAGGCAAGGACAGGGAAGGGAATGCAGACCTCAGGCTCCCCACTACACTGACATGAAACCAACCTTCAATTTATCTTTAAATTTATCTTTAAGGTTATCCCCAAGAGAGCTACCCAACACATTCAGTCACCACTACTAAAGCAATGTAAAAATATTAAAGGTTTCCCTCCAAACCAGGTAATAAAGTAAAAGATACCTTAATAAATAAGGATGTGAGGAAAAGCACTATTTTAGCTTCTGTCACATTGCTTATGCCACCTTTTTCTGCATGTTCTGCTGCTGGGACCTTTGAAAATACAAAGAGAAAACAATGACTTTTGCTGTCTGTAATGGGGTGCTGTGTTCTGTCCCTAGCTCACTGAGTCATATGTGGATTTATACTGATGGTATGAAGTAAAGAAGTAAAGTTAAATGCTAAATTTTACTAAACAGAAGAGCCTGTACTGTGAATTAACTTCAGAACACTGCATTTGCAAAACAAATTGGAACAATCCCCAAAATAAGTTTCTAGCACTAGCTTGTCTCCTTAAGAAACTGCCAAACTTAATCCTCTGACTTTACAGTTCAGCATTATACATCATATATCAAAAAACCCAAAAATGGACATTTTCCTGCTGATAAGGTAAAAGAACAAATTATATTTTACACGGGACTTTTGCTTTAACACTCTCCATACAGCATTATTTACAGTGAATTTTATCCTTTCTGCCATGGAATGAAGAATTTTTTTCAAATGTTTGAAAGCCTACATTTAAAGCTACAGCAGGAACTATCCAAAATGGTAGTATTAAATTGTAGTATAAACTCCCAACCTTGAAATATTCACTGGATTTACCATTTCCTAACTATTACCTCCCATTCTCTACATCATGTATGAATGAGGCCAACAAGCTCAGGATGCAAACTCTTGTCCCTGTAGTGTCACAGTTTGGGATTTTTTTCTCTTTGCTTGATTCCTGTCTTCTCTGAGGTTGAATTAGTAGCAATAGCAATGGAAGTGTGTTTGAAGCCTCCAAACCCTCTGTGCTCAAGCTCTCTTCAAGCAGAAGAGCACTGTTGAACTGCACAGTTCATTTCTGACCACACTGGCATTAGTGTAGCTAAAAACTACACTAAAATAATTTCAGGAAAGAAGTTCTAAAAGCTGTGTCATGCTTATGGTAACACATGCTTACATTTATATTTCCCCTGTTCCCATAGGACATCAGCAGAACCACCAACAAAAACAACTTAGGCCTAGAAATTCTCAGGAGACTTGCCCTAAATCAAGGATGTCATTTTTCCAACCACCAGCCCCAAGCTGTCAGAGAAGTGCAGACTGACACAGGGGTTGGCAGAAAATAAATAAATAGATTTCCCATTGCTGTCACAAACTTGTTGCATTGTTAAGCAGAAAACAATAGAGGCTTTTTCTTCTTTTTTTTTTTTTAAAGCCAGCATAATAACTGTGAGCTTCCTGGTGCTGTCATGGTGTTTTTTCCTCTTCCTTCTCTCTCTGTTTATATCCCTCCCCTAAGTCTACTTCATAAGCATTTCTTGGTTACACTATAAACAATACAGGAGGAAAAAAACCTACTATGAAGTCAAAGGAAATAAAAGCTGGTTTTGTTGGTTGTCATGTTCAGTAGTTTTTTTTCATTTCTGCCTTCATGACTGCCACAATACATGCAGTTCTGACAGGAAGTCCAAAAGGAGAAATGGCATTAGAGCCTCATGTCTCAACAAATCTAGAATATTTTGGAAATAAAAACTTTCCTCCTGGCTCTATGAAGAGGACAGCTGTCTTACACTTGAGATGGGCTTTCTAGAGAAAAAAAATGGAACAGAAACTCCACTTTTTCATTAGCAATTTTGCTATGATTACTAGATAAACAGTGGTTCAGCCAGATTCCTATTAACAGGCCTCTTCCCTGGGACCAACTGTCTGCCTTGCTGGGAAAGGAACTGCAGCTGTCCAGGCATCCCTGGAAAATGTCTCTGTTTGGTTTAGACATTTTTAGAAATTTCTCTAAGCCATCAAAATAAACACTGCTTGTTTTTAGGTCATTGAAGAGATTCTATCGAACTGTTAGAAAAACCATGAATCCTGTACAATGTCAGAGAGCATAGAAACACTGGTGAGTTCTGACCAGGGTCAGCATAAAAGATCATAGAGGTTGATAATTATATCAAAATTATATTATATTAATTATATTATATTAATTCTATTCTATTCTATTCTATTCTATTCTATTCTAGGCAAAACACAGTATTAATAGGAATCAACATAAAAACTGTTAAGGAGGAAGAAAGACTCAAATCATAATCCAATCACTAACTACAGTGACAAGTAGAGAGACCACAAACAGGTACTAATTTATTCATCTTTTTCCCCAAGTGTTTAAACTCTTCCTCATTTTTCCTGCAAGTCAGTTTCTTGGCAGAATTTTTATCTGCACCAGAATTTTACTTTCCCAGCAAAATTCTGGGTCTCCATGAAAGGACCTAAACCAATTCATTCATCCCTTATACTTCAATGTATAGAACATCTGCAATACCCCATGGAGAATTGGAGTTTTTGCTGCCACTGGCACACAGCTTTGCCACCACTGACCCTCAGCCACTGGAAATCAGGCCATTCCCTGCTGGCAAGGACAGCCAGTAGGGCTGCACACTTTGAATAGGAAGAACTAAGTTTAAAGTCCATTCAATATTTTCTGAAACAGTATCTGAATTCAAGTTTTCAGCTGTTCTCAGATGTGATGTTTCCAGCAGCAGCTGTACCACCCTGCTCAGCTCTGCCAACAATGCCAAGGATGTTTTTGTGTGCTGCACACTTCACATGATGCTGGAAAAACACCTTCTGAGGTTCCCTGTTTTACCCAACCTAAGCTGAATGAAGTTTTACATGTTGGAAGAGCAAAATGAACTTTACCTTCTCTGTGTTCAGAAAACACACAGGTGTGTCTGGATCAAGAACTTCTTTCAGCCATGACTTTGAAGCATCCCCAAGGTCCAGTTTCAATTTCTTTAGGTTGGGCAAGTTAACAGTGGCATTTGACACCTTCTCTGAACCACATTCCAGTTTGCCTTCATATACCAGCATGTTACTCAATGACATAATCTTACTAAAGAGGTAAAAAAACAAGAAAAGGCATAAAAATCTCTCCATTTCAATCCCACATCAAGAACACATTTTAGTAAATAAATGTTGAAAGTACCTATTCATTCTGTATTGCACAGTTAATTGGACAACAGCATTTTGGTTTTGTTCCAGCCTTTTAAATAAGCTTTCACTCATGCCAAGATCTCTGTTACAACACAAAGACAAAAATCCAAATGTGTCAATCAGAACACTGCAAGAGCCTTCCCAGAACCTGTGACTAGGAATTGTCCAGCAGCATTTTATCTTACCTGGCTTCTGCATTCAGCACAAGTGGAGGCAGCTGCTGATGATCCCCCACCAGCACAAACCTTTTGGAGCAGAACAGTGGGCCCAGGCACACGAGCTGGCTGATTTGGGAAGCTTCATCAACAATGCAGAAGTCAAATTGCTTCTGAGTAAAGATGGGGTGATTTACTCCCATGCAAGATGTTGCTACCACTGGCTGAAAATTGAGACACACTTCAAGGATAAGATACATTTCACATCCTTTAGCACTGTATTCTCCACATTAAAAGAAAAAATATTTCCCATTAAACTGAACTAAACTGTAAAATCACAGAAATCAAATTATTTATCCTTGAAATCAGACCAACATCACTTAGATATATATTGGCCTGACACATTCTTGTATCAATTGCAAGTGACAAACAAAACCAGCTTTAGAGCAGACTGTAGCAAACAACTTGTTCCTGTCATGTGTTCAGAGTGATGCCAGGTTCTATTCATGGACAATTCATGGAGTGTGCTGAAATGACTACAGTGAAAAATCAGGTGGTTTGGGGTTTTTTTTCAAGACTGAAGAAAAGATAAAACAACAACAGCAGCACAGTTCTCCCCACCACTGTGCTTCCACTGCAACCCAAAATGACCAAAATAAGAAATGCCAATTCATTCCCCTTATGACTTCAGTCTTTCCCCAGCAATACTTATCAATAAAAAGTAAATGGCAGCTTTTGTGAAGCTGGCATTCACTCCAACTCCCATCAAACTTTATTCTTTCAGTGAATTTAATTTAAAGCTGCCACTGATTTGTATGACCCAGCTCCCATTATGGTTTGCATTAACATTCACACAGACAGCACTAAAAAGAAATATTAAGAAATAATCAGAAATAAGGGTTTGGCCAGGTCAGCTCCACAGCATTCCACTTCCTCTCCCCCATCTGCTGATTGTACTGATGGCACAAGGAGCACCAGTGGGAGGGAGAAGGGACAAACAGCAGCAGAATGTAAATAGTGCTAAAGGAGGCTGCAGCAGGCCATTCACAAAACCTCTGTCAGAGAAAAGCAGTGGAGTTTTTGGGGCTTATTACTTACAATGATGAGTTACTTTGTGTGGACATAAACAAAGCTTCTCAACTTGCAGACTTAATGTAGGTCATTACTGGCTATAAAGAAATTGAAACAATGCAGAGGTTGAGTATCTCTTTCAGCCCAGATTTCTTACAGCAGTGCACACCCCTGGGATGGGTTCCTTCTCTGCAGCATCCAAACAAAATACTAATGTAATTATCTTTAATAATTTGAAGGACTAGCAAGAAAACATTTTTCTCACCTGACTATTATAGACCTCTTCCAAGTCCGTTACAGACTTAATTGATCTGGACCTGCAGATTTCTTCTTCTGTGTATTTCTGAATATCTGGGTGAACCTTCTGAGCTCGCCCCAAGCGCAAGAAACCAACTTTGAATTTGGCCAACTTCAGCAGGACATTGTCCACAGCTGTGTGTGTAAAACTGGTCAGAAGGACACTAAAGCCACAAGCAGAAAGAATTCTCACCTAATGAGTGGCAAAGGGAAAGAAAAGGAGAAGCTGTTAAGGAGAAGCAGAAAAGGATTCATCTGCAAGAATCAACAATCCCAGGTTTGCTAAGGGGAAAAGCACAAAGGGTTTTGGAGGGAGCCAATAATAAACATGACCTGGTCTGTATCAGTCTCTCTGGCCAGATGTGTCAGTTGACAGTGGGCAGCAGTCCTGAGGGCTCCCATGGCCAGCAGGCTCACAAGGCTGCTCACACAGAGCCAAAACCTGGATGTGCACTCCCAAGGAACTGCACTCCAAGATCCCCAGGGTAAGCAGCAGCCATGCAGCCTCTGTTCCCACAGCACTGCTCTCCATGGCAATGCAGCCCCTGGAGGTTCAGGGCAATGAGCTGGTCTGAAGACAGCAGCAGCCTCTGTTCCCATAGCACTGCTCCCCTTGGCAATGCAGCCCCTGGCTGGTCTGAAGACAGCAGCAGCCATGCAGCCTCTGTTCCCACAGCACTGCTCTCCATGGCAATGCAGCCCCTGGCTGGTCTGAAGACAGCAGCAGCCTCTGTTCCCACAGCAATGCTCCCCATGGCAATGCAGCCCCTGGCTGGTCTGAAGACAGCAGCAGCCATGCAGCCCCTGTTCCCACAGCACTGCTCCCCATGGCAATGCAGCCCCTGGAGGTTCAGGGCAATGGGCTGGTCTGAAGACAGCAGCAGCTCTCCTGCCTCCTCCTTCCATGAGCTGATGGCAAATGGAAGCAGGTTAACTCTGCTCTTTGATGAAAACCTCACTCAGCCCACAGCCTGAATGCAGTATGCTCCTACAGTTCTTTCCTGGAGGAGAGAAGCACCAGCTAGAGGAGATGGTAGCAGACTGCACATAGATGCAGCCCCACAGGTTCATGCAATCCACAGTGGCTGCTCAAGCCAGTACTACTGGCTACTTCCTCTTTTGAGCTATAACTCAGGACTTGAAGACTTGCTGATATTTAGAGCCAAGGAATTTTAACACTAAAGCATCACAGAAATGATTAAATATCACACTTCAATCTCCTCCCTCCCACATACATTCCTACACAAGCAATTGACCATCCTACTCCACAAAATCCAATTTTAGTTCTACCAAATATAGGTTAAGCAAAAAGAAGTGTGTTTTCTTCCTTGAAGTTATACAGATACTGTCAGATGAAGCCATGACACTACACAGTTGGTTTAATTCTATCCTCTAAATCTCACCAAAAAAATTAAACTCCAAGGTACATGATCTTACTAGAGCACATATTGTAGTCGTTTTTCCTGTTCCAGGCATACCCACAATAAGGGTGTAGTCTTTTGAAAGTAGCACTTGTTTCATTGCCTGTTTCTGAGGCTTATTTAGACCTTTCAGAAGAAAAAGCAAAATTGAATTATTACACTTCAGCAAAAAAGTCACAGCAAAATTGTAATTTCCTCCTTCACTAAAGCCCTTAATAGAGAAAAGAACTGAGCAAAGTCTGTAGGTTTTAATGAAGATATGACATTAAACATAATACACAAGATAAGTAGTAGAAGCTCTGCACTATGGTCCTAGAAATAAGTCACTGAAAACGTTTTTATTTTTAGACTTTTGTGACTTTTTTTTCTAATATCTTAATTGACCACCTCCACATATTGTGTCTGGGCACGTGTGTTTGATCATACCACTTTCACATCCAAACACACAGCTCACAGCAAGGGCTGATGAGCTGCACATACAGGTTGTTTAGAACAAACATCCCAGCAGAGCTGGTTTGCCCTAGCCTGATGCAAACAAGCAGCACATTTCAGCTATTTGGACTAAGCAAAGCTCAAGCAAAGTAAAACTTCAAATTGAGTTTTTATAGAAAATTCAATTTACTCTAAGAACTCTAAGACAACTCAGTTAAATTTATGTTTTCACAGGCAGCTCTGTCAGAGCACAAGGAAATATTTCCACCAAATACAAGATGCTGCCTCATACCTAAACTAGTTTTGTTTTTAAATAAATGCCACAAAGCATGACACTATGTTGACACTTGTAAACAAGTTAGCAAGAATGATTGATTACACAAGTGAATGTTTCCACCAAAGCCCATCTCCTTCCTCTCCCTCCATCCCAAGAGCTGTCTCTGTCCCTTCCTCCTGTAAAGGTTATAGAGGGAATCACATGGCCCTCTGTCTGCAACTGCACACTGCAGCCTCTAGTAAAATAAAGTTGTGAACAAGGATCTGATCAGGTCTTCCTGTGATTAAATGAGCCTTCAGCTAGTTGGAAGACATGCAAGGTAAGAACCTGGTTTTAATTTTTAAGCTGAGAACTATCACAGGACCCCCAAGGAGGAAAAACTCCTTATATTTATAGCATGATAAATATTTTGGCTGTAGAAACATACTACTAAGCAGAGCATTTTGGGGAAAGTAATTTTGTACCCTTTAAAATATTTGCAACAGTTTCCTTAGCTTCAGGAGGAAGGACAGAGCTCAAGTGCTGAATAAAACATGGTTTCTGGAAGTCAATGATCAGGTTGCGGAGCCTTTCACTGTGGATAAAAACAAGACAAAACTGAGTTCAAATAACAGTTACCACTTGAGAAACTTCATCTGAAAATACTGAAAGTGTGAAATTAAGTTGATTTTTCATACCTGACTGGGCAATCTTTCATCAATTTAGAAAGATTTTTAAAAGGGACTCCTGTACCAACATCTCCTTCATCATGATCCAACCTAAATACAGTGGTCTTGGGGAGGTTTGACAAATCCCTGAAGGATGACAAGAACATGGATGAAATAATTTTGTTTACCAGCTGTATGTTGATTAGAGACTTATTACTACATGTTCAATGATATCTTCCAGAGATCCCAGAGTGAAGCAACAGCTGATTGAAATACACTATTAACTGATCTAAAGAAAGCATGATCCCAATGAGGGACAATAAAACATAAGCCAAACTTAAACACAATATAGACTGAACAATGAAATTTACTATTAACACAGTCCTCACTGTATCCATATAGATTCATGCTAGAGATGGAAGTCAATAGAGTAATAATGTGCTTTTATTCAAACCACCTGGGTAAACAGACAGGCATTTATACCAGGTACTGGCAGTTCCAATCAAGACAAGAGAATTTCTGAAGGGTACTACTCCAAAGCCAGTGAGGCCTTGTGAAGGCTGGCCTGGAACAGAGACTAGATAGAGCTCAAGAATAAAGCAGGGATTTATTAAAAGGATCTCAGTGGATGCACCTTGGGCAGCACAAGAGCCCAGCCAGGGCTGCACCCAAAATGAACCAAAATGGTCACAAAATGGACACCCGGTCACGGGGTCTCTCCTAAGTTCTGCTCTATTTGCACATTGCAGTTCATTGTCCAATTCCAGCTTTAGCCCAGGCAGTCCCATCAATCTTGTTTTTCCCTCTTCAGTCCAGTTGTTTGCACTCTTGGGCCTGAAGTTTGGATCATTTGTCCTTGGTCCCCAGCTAGAGCAGGAATTGTTTTGCCTCCCTACTCTGTGCAGAGAGCTCACCATCCCCTAATATGAAGCCTAGACTTACACACTAAAGGAGCACAGAATCTGAGAAATAGAAAAGCTAAACCCTGAGGCATCACCGGTAGGAAGAGTCAGGACTTGTCACAGCTTTTTGGACACCTAGCAGCACCCTTCCTCAAGGCAGTGCCAGAGTGTTTGCAAACAGATACTTTTCTTTTTATCCTATTACCTGCCCAGCAAACAGGAGACTTTTGTTCCACTGACTTCTCTAACATAGCCAGTAGCCAAACCAAGCAAACCCTTTTCCTCTCCACTCACAACCACTCGATCACCAACCAACAGGTTTGTCCCAGGTATGGCACCATTTCTACGCTGGAAAAAATGTAGGTACTGTCCCTCAGAAACTTCATGGACTTCATCAACTCTCATCATGTTTCCAACACAATCTCCAGCCTTCTCTCTGAAGGTATTCAAAAAAGAGATATTTTAATATTAAGATCCTCTCTGTAAGAGAACTATTAAGAATAAAACCCCATAAGTTAAAAAACCATACCACCCACAAGCAACAATCAAAACCAAAATACAACACAAACAAAAGGAAGGAAGGAAGCATCATTGGCATGAGCTTAGAAATTAAACCTACCTTTCCAAAGAAGGTGTCATCCATATATTTTTATATCCCTTTTTATGCTCTCCACTTTGCAGCTCCAAGGTTAACATCAGATACCAGAGGCTGAAATACTCCAGGTGGGAGGGTTTCAGGTGCTGGGTCTCTCTGTCAATGACAGGCACCAAAGCAGGAGGAAAGGCCACACTGGCCATCTTCTGCTCCACAGCCCTAGGGACAGAACCAGCCACAGAGAGGCTCAGCCTGCATCCTTTTTCACCTGCAAGCCCATCTGTGCATAGCAACAATCCAAATACCCACTGTAACATCCCAGACAGATTCATTTATCATTACTTGAATAAAGTAGAATCTGCATCCCTTGTTCAGATGCATAATCTTGTGTGAGTAACTTCACATTATCTCCATCATTTTGAAGGGCAGTAAGGTAATCAAAGACCAAATAAAGGCATTTCAAGGATAGTAACATATACATTTACAGATTTACAGAGTTTACCTTTTACTCCTTTTATTGTAATATACTATTTTGATATTTAGCTAAGCAATGGAGATTTAGTAGTTAATACACAAGCCAATTTCAAGTAATTTTTTTTCAAAACTAAATATCAATAGACATTATACCAAATCATACATTCAAAACACAACCAGAGAGACAAAAGCTTCTCCAGAAGTAAATAGCTCTCCAGCTATATCCTGCTGCTGCAACAAATGAGTATTAGAAGCAGGATTTCACAGAAACATATCAGGTATCCCCACAAAGCTCTCTCAACACACACTTTGACCCCTCTAATTTTAAAAACAATCAGGCATTCTATTTCCACAAGACCACCCCCAAGGCTCTCCTTTTCTGACAAACCTCATTTGATCTCTTCCACATACAATTCTGCTTGTTTTTTGTGCAGCATAGAGACTAAAACTTGTAACAGCAGTTAAAACAATACAATAACTTTGTGTGAAATTTTATGGAATACTTGCTCACTACTTGTGTTGACCAGGAGATGCAATAACACTTCAGCAGAGTAGTATCAATGTCTTACTTGTGTCATACCCTACAGGGAAACAATCTTCTACAGAGTGAACCTGAAAAAGTGGCTCTCCAGCCAGAACTCAGGCCCAGAGATTGCCTCTTGCAGAGAGCTGCAGGAATATATAGCTTTTTTAAGAGATCTGTTATTGTCATCAAGTATTTTGTTGAGACTTATCTCAGATTTTGTCTTGCAAAAAGTGTACCTGAGCAAACATATTAAGTCTCTGTGAAATCAGGAGCTGAACCATAAAAGTTGTAGAGAAATCTGTGGAAGATTCTTTTGGGGTAGAAAATTATTCAATATATACAAAACTGTCAATCACTAAGATGAAATTATTATATCAAAAGATACAATTATTCAATCTCATTTAAAAACATTAATCAGACTTTTTTTTTACCTGCTGTACAGAAAGCAGTTGTGCATTTGGGAACAATATTTACATGTTTGACTGTCATCAATCACAGGAGGCAAAGCAGCAAGCTGTGAATTCTGCCTTCCCACATCAGATTTATAGGTACTGTGTGTCAAGTAGAAGGCCACATGATTTCTCAACTTCATTAATTCTGTCAAGAAAAGGATAAACTAAACTGATGGTTTTGCTTGTAACAATTTCTACCTCAAAAGTAATTAGCTATCAACTTTTTAGTCAACTAAGAACTCATTATTCACAAAGTCCTTGCACCATATTAATAAAACAACTGAATTTTTAACATAAATGTTAGTACTGAGTGAAGTATCCCCAAGTATTAGAACAAGTGAAGTATCCCCAAGTACAGCTATTTTCATAAGAGTAAACTTTACAGTTATACAGAAAGATGTTAGTAATATTGAAGAGAATGATGGTTTCCAGAGAAGGGGAACAACTTCACCTCTGCGGTCCATGCGAGCCCCAGACACAGGATACATTGTACCAGTTTTCAGATAAAGGAGAAATCCAGCTTCAGGATCCACTCTCCGCTCCAAACTCAGCAATGTGTACAGAATAACCTGCAAGCATTATACATAAATACATATTTACATACTGCAATGCACATTATTGCAGTATAGTGCTGTGGTTTAACCCCAAGCACCACACAGCTGCTCACTCACCTCCCCACCCTTGCTGAGGGTTGAGATAAGGACAGTTTAAGATGGAAAAGAAAAGCCACACATGCAAGCAAAGCAAAACAAGGAATTCATTCACAGCTTCCCGTGGTTGGGCAGGTGTTCAACCACCCCCAGGAGAGCAGGGCCCATCACATGGAATGGTGCCTTGGGAAGGCAGAACTCCATCACCCCAAACCTTGCAGTGCCCCCACCCTTCCTCCTCCTTTCCCCCACCCTAGACAGTGAGTGTGATGAGCAGCCACATGGTCTGGGACACCCCCTTGATCCCTGGGGTCCCCTGTCCTGGCTGTGTCCCCTCACTTCCCATCACCCCCAGGAAAGGCCTTGGCTCTGTGTGAGCCCTGCCCAGCCCCAAGAGCAACATCCCTGTGTTACCAACCTGTGCTCAGCACAAACCCAAAATACAGCCCACACTTACCTCCTGTCAGGAAAACCATTGCTAACCCCAGTCAAAACCAGCCCAGCATTAAAAACAAAACACATTCTAAAGTGTATTTAGTTATTCCACAATTTATATGGCTAAACAGCCATTATTATCACAAGTCTTATAGAAGCTGCAAGTAGTAACTTTACCAAGGATTTAAATTAAAAGGCATCTTTAAAACCTTTTATCAAGGCTACCACCTTTCTAAATCAGGCCAGCTATATGGAAATATGTATAACTCCAGCTCCTGAAACAGTTTGCTTCAACCTCATATTTGAATGTACTCAGAAGAGACTAAAGAACAGACCTTTCAGGATAAAAAACCCCTAAGTGTGCTTGAAGGTGGTAAATGTATTCACTTCTTACTACTAAGTTCACTTTAATTTTATACCAGCAGCTTTGGGCATGAGCTAGCCATGAATTTAGATTATAACACATACAAAGTGTTTCATACTCATAAGACAAAATAGGTCACCTAACAAAAAAGAGCACAGAGCACTGACAGTGAAATGAGGCATTTGGTGCCTGTACCTGACTTCTGTGCTCGATGGAGTTGGATTCCTTGCCAGACTTGAGCTCCAAAGGCATTACCCGAGACTGTACTCCAGACTGGCAATGGATTTTCACCCTGGCTGTAACATCAATCTTGCCCTTTAGCCCAAACCTGGGAGACCAGATATTCTCTTCAATGTCCAAGATATCTACAACCTCTATCTTAGAACATACATCTTCTGTTTTTCCACCATTTGACCTAGGAAGAAAATTAAGCCAGAAATTAACAATTTCCCTTTATTATTAATATTTAAACATTAAAATGTGTTGCAACTAAATATATAATATTTCTGCATTACAAGTGCCCTTTAGGCACTAACTTGAGAAATAAAATGCATCAAGTCTCACTCAAACTACTCTTCCCATTAACAGAGGAAGCAACATATCAGAAACTAACTTCAGTTAGTTTTGCTAGTCACCTAAATTTCAAAGTTAAAATGAGACTTTAAACTGTTTTTAATAGTTTTTGGTCTTTTCTCAATAACCACACTCTGTCATACACGTGAGAGTAGCATACAGGTTTTGCTCAGAGCTGCCATTTCACTGAAACTTTACCACCCTATGCTTACTACAATTAACAGCAAGAAGCCATGGACAAGAAGAGCTCAGCAGCATTTGAGTAAAATCATCATTTCACCAAAGGAATCTGTTATTAGTCAAGAACTTAATTTCATTAATAGTTTCACATTTTGATTTTTAGTCTTGCTCAGAACTACAGTAACTCCTGCTTTGCTCAGCAGCTCAAAAATCCTTGCTCTTCTGCTCACTAAAAGCTCTGGTTTGTACCATGCTGCTCACAAGGATTTAAAGATTTTGAAGTCAGCTCCCCCTCAGGCTTCATGTCCTGCCCAGTACTCACCAAGGCAGCTAAACGTGCAGCACAAGGGCAGCTCTACAGTCAGTGAGGCCATGAATCACCCAACAGATGTACATAAGGAGTTCTAAACATTTCAAGTGAACTAAACAAGATATACAACATAGAAGGGTTTAAAACTTAATTCTGGCTTCTTACAGTTTCAGTTGCATTTTGTTTTGGTGTGCTGGATTGTGCATGAAGTCTTCTGCCCACTTAAAAAATGATGGCAAATATTCTTCTATTTCTTGCATTATCTGTGCTTGTTTCACATTTAAGAGATACCTAAAAAAAAAAAAAAAAAGACACATGCACATGAAGGAAACAAAGTATTAAATCTGCTGTTGGCACTAAAGAGACTTGCCTCAAGTAGCAACAAGATCATTGGAAGTAACTGTCAAGTTCTTATAAATATCTATAAACTGTAGATAACAACAGTTTCATAGAGGTTCAACTCAATTCATAGAACTATTAACTGAACATCTATTAAAAGAGATATACTATACCAGAACATCTATTTCTGGTGTAACCTTTGAAACAACAGGTACAGCACAGTGAGAGCATCAGTGTGGCAGATGTGATGAAACAAAATGAACAGTTTGCAGGAAAGGAGTAGCAGACTCATGCATTTAAATATGCAAGTCATGCAATGTTGAATAAACAAATTAAAAGACCATTTGTTTTTAGTCTGGATATCCTCATCTGCTCCTTACATGCATTTTGACAGAACATGACACTGAATGTAATTGTGTGGCATTAGATAATTCAGTGCTGGCAACCACTGGAAATAATGTCATTTTTCTACAGCAACAGAGTGGATTTTGCACAAAAAGGTTCATAGGAGTGCAAATGACCACAGGCAGCAGGCTTATGCAACTTATTTTTCAATCCCAATAAACAGTAGCCTACATATGTAAAAAGGAATTGCAAATTAACAGTTTCATGCAGGCCCAGAGGGACATAAAGGCATTTCAGCAGCCACAATTCAAAATATTATCTTCATAACAGAACTAAGAGTAATAAATCTTGCCACTACAACTTTAACTTCTGACTCATCTGGGGTCAACAGATACTGATATTGCCCAACATACAATTTAAATCAGTCTATATATAATGATTTTTAATTTACATGAGTAGAATGTATTTTAATCAAGCCTGCAGTAAAATGTTACAACTACCAGCCATTCATCTTCCCACTTTCTGAAGGAAATACTAAGCATTGCCTAGCATTTCTATTAGCTCTGCTGAGAAAATAAGTTAAAGGTCTTCTGACAACTGAGACTTTAAGTAACCTGATAAAGATATGAAATTAACAGAAATTCAATTCTTGGTCAGTCACAAGCTTCCAGGTTCATTGCTGAGGATCATAATTAACTATTTGTCCCATTCAAATCAGCTTTGGGAGATGCCTGGAAATCTAATGTTACAGACACAAACACTGCAACCTGCTTGGCCTAAAAGCAAAAAAAAACCCTGCCACATACAGTTACTGCAAAAGAGTGGTTCAGATATACAGAAGTTGCTCAGCAGGGAAGGCAAATAAAATTAAGCTATCAAATGGGGAATTATCTTATTAAAAGATCCCTAATTTCCATCAAGCAAAGTCATTTGGCAGAACACTCTCCTGATACCAGTGCTACATTTTTTGAAGTACAACTTAAATTGCTACTTCAAAGTGTTCCTGCCCTGTCTTCCACACATAATGATTTTTAGTCTTGCTCAGAACCACAGAAACTCCTACTTTGGTCAGCAGCTCAAATATCCTTGCTCTTCTGTTCGCTGTAATGAGTACTGTAATGCTGTAATGCCACTTACATTTCCTTGAGGTACTTTTGTCCATACACAATTTTATTTGCTAGTTCTTGCACCTTTTCTTGTGTCAGGTCATTGGTGACTGACTGCTGGAAGATGTCATGAAGAATTGTCCCAATGAGCATTTGGGGTGAGCCCGGCTCGGCGCCCTGCAACAGAAGGGAAGTCACCAGAGCTGGAGATTTGTGCCCATTTCATGCCAACTTCCCTGGCAAATTTCTGGGTTTGCTTTGCTGCACATCATGGCCTGCATTATTTAGCTACCAGATCATGACAGCTTTCACCTCACTCATGATTATCTGGCCAAACCTGCCTGTGAGAGCAGCTGAATTGAAGTGGGTCTCACCTATTGCTTTATCCCAAGTGTGACAATGTCAGGATACAATCTCTATGGGATTGGCAGGCAAGGAAAAAAGCACAGATTAAAATAAATTCTGAGAAAGCTCTGCCTGCAGGCATTTCCTAATGCAAATACATACCTTTGGAATCTTACACAGATTTCTTGCATGAAGCAGTTTCCTGTCTGCTAAAACAGCAAAATCATCCCATGTGTCACCAAGATGGCTCAGAACCCATCAGCAGGGCTGGGCTCTGGAGACTCACAAGAACTGAAAGTGGTAGTAAATGACCTTCCATGAGCCACTACCAAACAGCTGGGAACCTAAACACTGTGGTATTATGGATCTCTCACAGACCAGTGGATTCCATTCACAACAGCTGCTATCCCAGTCAGGACCCTGTGCATTGTCCCAGCAATTATTTTATCCCCCTTACTCCTCTAATAAAGGATTGAAGACCATTTCATGGTCTTAATCTCCTGTTCTTAACTTTCTTGTTCCAGTCACAGCTTCCCAGCCAGGCTGTTTACCACTCCATTAAAATTTCCTTATTATTTAGGATTTATACTCCTATCATATCTGCAAGTTTTCATCAGCTGAGACCGGCAGCTTCTCTATTTATCAGCATATCTCTCATGTATCAGCAAGGATACTATCACAAATATCTCTCATGTATCAGCAAGGATACTACCACTAATATCTCTCATGTAGCAGCAAGGATACTACCACAAATATCTCTCATGTATCAGCAAGGATATTACCACTTGTCCTCTTTCCAAGATACAGCAGCTGGATTCAGACTCCAGAGTTAGCCCACACCAATTATTAACTGAATTAGCCACATTTTTCAGAAGCTGTTAACTTGGCCAAGTATGGTTATATTTTCATATGGATGGCAAGAAGCATATCCCTCACAAAGGATTCATATCCACACAAAATGTGGCAAGAGATTATTAAAAAAATTAACAGAATTATAAGTGGAAAGACCATTTCTTTAGCCCAGTAGCTGCATTAAAGAGCACTGCATTATTTCAGGTGCAATTCTCAAAAAGACAAGAGAAGCTCAACCAGAGACAGTGTCCACCCCAAATGATTCTGTGTTGTGAACATTACAAATTGCTAATAATGCCATTTCCAAGAGGCAGATTTAACACTGAGCTAAGGCAGCAGTGCCAGGGGAACAGGAGCTCCCAGGCAGTGTGCAATGAGCACTCACCCTGAAGCGCTCACTCAGCACTGCCCTCCTCATGCAGCGGATGCTGCTGGAGATGGTGGTGCCCGACAGCAGCAGGTCTGGGTACAGCACCAGGTACCCACTCTGGGCACTGATCACCCACGTGCCAGAGCTGCACTCCCCTTCCAAATGAACAATGTCCCCTGGAACCACGGGGACAGACTCCCTGCAAGGGAATGCACCCACACAATCAGTGTTTGCAAATGACAGACAATTCATCAGAAATAACAACACACTAACACAGCAGATTCAACATTCTTTGAAATGCTGGGTTGGGTCCTTTTAAGGAGTTGACCTAAAGGAATCCTGAGAGTGAATAAAGGCATTTTTACAATGACAAAACTGCAAGGTAGCACGGCCCACTCAACACACATTACCTGAGATCAGGTCTCTCAAGATGATATCCATTATGCTAGCATACTGATAATATTACATTAAACAAAGATTCCTTCAGGATCCCCTATCACTTTTAGGGCCGTAAAACTCAATTCACAGACAACACAAACAAAATTGAGTAAATAATCCAGAATTTCATTCTCTTTTCAAACATCTGTGCAGATTACCAGCCATTCCTAAGGATGCACAGTTCTGTATCTTCCAGTGAGGGGGAGGCTGTAATTGTCAAGTGTTTCTCAGGGTCACTTCCATTCCTCTGGATCACGCTGACCTCCAGCACACGGTATCTGTTGTTCAGCCCATTCTTCAGGATCGCATCAGGCGAGTCAGCCACTTTCTTCTGAAAACTGAAATTACAAACAGCTAATTACAAAGAATACTGCACTGTTTGAAAACAGCCAACCTACATGCAAAAAGGGGGGAAGCTTCAATTTTTCAAATTCAAAGTTTCAAATAGAAACCAAATTTTACTCCCCTTCAATTTTTATAAATATTTTGTTTGGTTGGATTTTTTTTTGATTTTTTAGTTCTGTACGGGTAGAGTGTAGGAAACCTCTCTAAATATTAAGCAACTCGCTATTTATTACAGTTAGTGCTTCAATTTTGTGTCAACATATCCATAAGCAATAGTAAAGTAATTATAACTGTTCTGCAAACGCTGTGCTCGGGAGAAAGTTTGTATCTCCCTGCAGGCATGAACTCCCGCTGCCACACAAACACCTCGAACATGGAGCAGTAAATTTTTACCCACTACCTGAAGTTGATTAGAAAACTGATATTCAAGGTTCAGTTTCCAATAGCCAAACCCCGAGGTAGAGCGGCCAAACCTGCCGCTCTCCTGTCCCCGAGCGATGCCTGGGGGAGCTGCGGGGCGGCCGGGGCAGAGCCCACGCCGGGGCCCCGCCGTGAACAACCTCGGCAGCGGCGGCTTCCCCTCACCGGCTACCCCCGGCACTCCCCAGCCCGAGGGAGGCCGGTGCCGCCCCGCCAGCCCTCAGAGCCCCGTCCCTCCTCTCCCCGCCCGACGCCGGGAGCGGTTCGCAAGTTCAATTCCCCCGCGCTCCCGGCCGTCTCCGCCCAGCTGCGGCTCCCCGCGCTCGGCCGCTACCTCTCGGCCATGGGCAGGTCCCGTACGGCGCTCGGCTCGGCTCGGCTCGGCTCGGCTCGGCTCGGCTCGGCTCGGCTCGGCCCGGCTCGGTTCAGTTCGGTTCCCTGAGCCCCGCGCGCCCCGGCAGCACAGCCGCGCGCTCCGCCAGCCCCGCCCAGCGCGCCCCTCGCGGCCAATGGGAGGCGGCGGAGGGGGCGGTCCCCGCGCGCGCGGGCTGAAGGCGCGAAGCGGCGCGCGGCTCCTCGCGCCGCGGCCCGGGGAGGGGCGGGGCCCGCGCCGTGAGGGAGCGCGAGGGGCGCTGAGGGCCGGGGGGCGCAGCCGCCGCTGTCAGCCGCGCCCGCCGGGAATTCCCACTCTGTCAAGGGCTGTCACGCCCCCGGCTCCACCTCCGCCACTGGTGCCGTGGTACGAGATAATATTAAACGTGCCTTCAGTTCCCAATTCACTTATGGGCCAGTCTGAGCCCGAGAGTCCAACGCTTCCCCTCAGAAAGATGTGTGGCCGCTGGCTTTCTGAGATGGTGCTGAAGTTTCCCAACAGATCTCACTCTGCTGCAGAAAGGACAGCTTTGGCCCATGCTTAGACATCCCAACAGAAGGATCGAGTTCAAATTGATGAAATTTAAAAGGTGAGAACATTCTTAGGTTAGGCCTTTACAGTTTTATTTGGGATAGTCCTGAAATATATGCAGTAAACTACATTAATGCTGCTTCCCAGTGCAACATTATTCTCTAAGAGAAGCTTAATTATAATTGTATAGTTGCTTCTTGATATGATTAAATGCAGTCATAATGTGGTGTGATATTGAGATTACATAAGTGCTTTGAACACTTGCTAAACCTTTGTGCTGTAGCCTCTTTCATGCTCTCTATACATCTCCCACACACCAGAAAATAAATATTTCAACAGAATAGGTTTATGAAGTACAAAATAGGCTTTAAATATCTTTTTGAAGTTATCTAAAATCCAGCCAGTGTGAGAAATCTCTAGGGAGAAAGTTGGACACAAGTGTTCTGAAATCAGAGATTGTAAAAAATGTTTGCTGATAGATCTTCAAGTTGCATTCTCCAAGCATAACTGTGTAAATTCAGGAATCAATATTAAAACACTTCCATACACTGTTACATTTTATTTTGAAAAACTAAATCTGAAAATACAGCACAGTTCCATCAAGTAGGTGTGTTTTTCACATTCAATACCAGACTCAAGAATTTAGAAGACACTTTATGTTCTCTTCCTCTCAGGCATGAATATGCTGGGTTCTGCTTTATTCTGCCTTACAACTGCTTAACTTACCATGACACTCCTCAAATACATCCCTGGTAGTAGAATTAAGATGTAAAACTCAATTTAATAATCCCTAACAGTATTCACATGAAAAAACTGGCTTATTTGCCCACACAGCAAAACAATGTAGAGAAAAGAAAGGCACTTCAGTTTTCTAATACAGTGGATTTATCTCTACTGCAAGAACTTTAAAATGTAAAAGTTCACTGTGATATTGGCTAGCTTTCCTTTATGGGGAAAAAAGATCAGATGAAAAAGCATATTTGCTGTCATTTAGTTAAGAATTACAATGTTGTGCATATTTACCTATTAGGGCAAACAGATCATTCCAGAAATATGTATTCTTCCTGGTTCCAACACACAGAGATCACACAAAGACATTGGTTCAAAAATTTTAATAAAATATATCCAGATACATTTCATTCTCTGTCCACTGCTACACTGTAAATTTCAAAGAAATATGTATTTTTAAGAAACTGGGGAAAAAATTGAGCCACAGAAGTTGGTATTGAATATATAACTGAAAATCCAATTTGTTAAATTTGTCAAAATTAAGCAAATCAGTCTTACCATCCAGCACTTAACATCACCATTTGCCAATTCTTAGAAGACACTAAAATATTTACAATAAATAAATAACTTACATGAAGTAAATGCTTTACAGTTTCCTGAATCAAGTGAGTAAAATCAAGAGTACCAATGCAAATCATGTATAAAATAATTCCTTCCAGAAAAGGAATCACAGGAGGAGGCCAACATGCAATAGTCCATTGCATACCATGACTTCAGGAGCAAACAGTACATACACACCTACAGAGGCCAGTACAATCTTCATTTTCTTTTCTCTCTGAGGTTGCATGTGGTCCCTATGCCTAAATAAGTAATTGCAGCAGCATGCAGTGTTCTTTGGCACCGTGGTTTAGGGAGGGAAACACCTGTTTACACCAGCTAGTACTGGGATAGCACATACTCATAACATACTCAGCCTTGAACACTCCAAATCAAGAACATGCAGCTGCACAGAAAAGCTTTCTAAGATTAGGCCCCCACCACCTGCCACAAGGAGATCTTTGCTAGCACTCATCCCTGTCAACTTCCCCCCACTTTTATTTGTGTAGTACAGCATTTCTTAGAACACAATGTACACCCAAATCTCCAAATGGCAGGCTATCCAATACTGCTAAATACATCTTGCTGGTTCTAGCTGAAATGGCTGAAGATACCCTCCTGGCTAGCAATTTCTGTTCTTGCATACAGAAAACTCATACAGAACAAGAATAAAAGGCTGCTTGAAGTGTGCTCTGCCAAGCTCAGCTTCTACAGACCTGGCAAGGATCTAATGCCAAAATCATTGCATTGAGTTCAAATCAGTTTATTCCATTTAATTTTTAAAGAACGGATGCCTAATTACTAGATTCAAAGGCAGCATAATCAGCAGCAGGTAACTCCTGGAATGGTGATAAAGCTAAATAACAGCTTGGAACCCGTGTAAAACATGGGTGTCATCTCCAAAACTGTGTCATTCCTAAAATTCACCTAATGAAGCCTAAAAGATCGAGTGCAAAAAAAGTGTTTAGAGCTAGCTAATGTTTATGTGGATGTGTCACCTGGTTCTGGCTCCAGGAAATCAACCACATTTTGGCAAATCAAGATGTCAGACAACAGCAGCTCCACAGTAACAGAAAGCTTTTTTTGTTAAACTTCAAGTCATTTATTCATTGATATCATTTGAGGATTGATGGTGTAGTTTTACAGCAAAGTCTTCTAAAACAAAGAATCAGTTGAGGTGCAAGAATTGTTTCATAAGTTCATAGGTGGTGAAAGCCACGGCCTGGGAAGGAATACAGCGAATGTAATTCAAGGAGAGCCCTCGGTACAGCCCCCTCCGTACGCCGTGCTGCTGGTACACGTACTTCAGTGTCTGCACCATGGTACTGCCAAAAGAAATCATCACTGGCTACACACATGCAGCAGCAAAATCATTTTCTTTACATATTTACTTGGGTTTTAAGAGATCCATGGAGAAAAACCCAGGGCGTTCCACACAGCAAAGCCACATATGACTAAAAACACAGCCTGTGCTTCTGCAAGAAATTTAAGCCCAAGGGCTGGGAATTGCAAAGAGGATGGTGCAGTCCCAGCTAAACAAGCGTTGGCCTGAAAACACCTGCCCTACAAGACATAGTACAGTATTTTCCACCAGAATGGCTCCACACATTCTCTTGCCTAACTGGCAGGAAAGAGCAGAGAAGCATAAATTCCTTTTACAAATAATAATCTGAGAATATAATATTTGACCTTATTAAAAGGAGAAGTTGCACTGTATGTGCAAAGAGAACTTTCTTCACATACTTGTATTGAAACTAAGCAGACATGAAATGGAAAGCACTTAAAGTGCTTGGTGTTTCCATGCTCTTGGAGAGCATCTTGCCTATGTTCCAAAGCTTCCAGACTTCCTGCCCGCTTTATCCTCTCATGCTCTAAAGACAGACCTGTGTGTCTCTCCTTCAAAGCACAGCTCTCCATATGGTCACAACAAAATTGTTAAATGGGGAAGCCTCAGGTCTGTAAAAAGGAGTCCCCACAAATGCAAAAACAACAAACACAGATTTATTTTAAAATCATCAGGAGTGGAGAATAACCAAGAAAAACAAAAAGGCTGGTGAGGAAAACAGAACAGAACCTTCACAGTTAAGCAACACTGAGGTTGTTTGTGAAAGGTCACTCGGGCTGCTCTTGTCGGATCCAAGCTTCCATGCAGGCGGTTCCCAGTGAATTGCACTGGGTTCAGACAGACACAATTCCACAAGATTGAAACTAACCAAGAGAAAACTGTCCCAGAATATTGAATTAGATTGAGACAATTTGAGATTCAGAAAGTTTCTCAAAATGAGAGCTGATTTAATAACATGATTTTTAAGTTATTATGGTGCTTCCATTCCTACTGGAGGAACCTCAACAATGTGTGGGGTGTAGGAGGTTACTATAAGTGCAAAAAAGCTCAAATAAAATTTTATTATGCAAAATCATCTTATGGAACAGATTCTGCACCATTAAATTACACTGAATGTTTCTACTTCATTTCAGTAGAAGCATTGGGTCTCTCTTTCAGAGAGCCTGCTGATATTAAAGGTACCACAAGTTGCATTAAAATACAAAAACCTATTTTACCAGTGGAGATACAGGATTACTAACAAGGGTGCCATTGTTATTTCAGGTGATTTTTTAACCCCAGATTGCTAGTGGTAGCTTTTGTCTGCAGGGACACCTCTTTATTAAAAGAAAGAAGAAATCCACAGCAGAGTAGTTCAGGGGGTGGGGGTGGCTGTTTTCTTACAGCAGTTGCTTTCTTTCCAAGTTTAATTTGAGAGCTGAACTCAGCTCAGACATGAAGAAGGCAGCGCAGATGAACAGCAAATACTCACAGGCACTTGTCAGAGTCCGGCAGAACCGCTCCCAACTGCATCCGCCTGCGAGTGACATCCAGGGGATACCTGCACAGGAGACACGCAAACTGCAGCTCAGGCACAGCAGTAACAGCTGCTGCAACAAGAAACAAACAACTCCACGTGCAAGCTCCCACTCTCTTTCACTGAGTCAGGAATCCAGCTTAGATTCTCAACACAGCTGAAAGCTCTCCAAAAAGGGAGACTCCCCTTACACACCCAAAACCAGCAAACCAGAGCTCTTAATACATTCCAGTTGGCACTAGTAAGGAAGATAC